TTTGTTAATTTTTTCACAGATGTTTTTTGTATGATATTAAGTATTAAAAATGATATGACAATGAACAGAAACTAATGCAACCTGACCTAACCAAAGAAACCTACCCAAACTTCCTCTCCCCCAAAATAATAGACAGAAAGAACTTACTTTGATATCTGTTACCAATGGAAGCAATTATCTAGAAGGTGCATGGTATAATTTTATGTTTTTTGTGGATGTAATAAAGATGCTATTGAAAACAATATGGCTTCTTCCTCACTTCCTCAGTCCTCCTCCTTTTGGAAGAGCAATAAGTACATGAACATACAGTTCACTTAATAGCCAATGCTACTCATAAGTTATTGGAAATGAATCAAAACCCAAAATGTGGGTTCGATACGAACAATATGATCATCTTATATAAATTGAATAGGGTTAGGAACTTATTGTGCAGAAAGACAAAATACATGGGGTTTGCGCTAGTTTTGGACATGACTACTGATACTGTAGGTAAAAAAAATAAATAGCATTCAAGCCTATAATATAGGTAAGTAAAATCTCTGATGTAAGACTCCGTCCTTTGTTGATAATTTAAGCGAGACCTGAATCTGAATTTATTTGTTTACAATCGGATGAGAACATGCTTCGACATTTTTCGGCAGAATATTTACGATAAAATTTAAATTTCTTCGTGTACAAGACACATAGAGACTTGATTTAACCTGTAGGCTGCGGGAATTTACCCTAAGCTGAATAAAATCGTCTGGCAGTAGCCAAAATAAAATGGCAAGTAAGGGAAATGCAGCGAGAGGATTAAGTGATTTATGATTGTATAGTAATTGTAGATAGAGTAAAACTGTATAAAATATTTATGATTAAAAAAAAAGTTGTCCTGTCCTTTTAATTACTTACTACCATTCAAAGAATTGCGGAAAAAATGAACGAAATCGAACAGCTACTTCCGGTGTCAGCTGTCTGCTCCTATATTATATATATATATATATATATATATATATATATATATATATATATAGCACACACACACACACACACACACATACACACATGTTATTATATATTATTATTATTATTGTATATGTTATGTACACACATACACATACATACATACACACACACACACACACACACACACACACATATGTATGTTTTCATACACACACATACACATATACAATGTTCATATACATATCATTATCATTATTATTGTATATTGCATATTGAACACATATATATATATATATATATATATATATATATATATATATATATATGCAAGTAAATCAGTATAGGTGCGCGTGATCTAGGTATATGCTGATAACCACAGGCCAGGAATCCAATGCTCTGTTTGTTCATTTGAGGGATAACAAGCATTGCATTGACTGGGATAATGCCTCCTCAATATTACCTTGTAATTCAATTGATAGTAGGAACATCATAGAATCTAGTCTTATTAAACATGCCGAAGCATTCAACATGAATTTGAGTAATGGCATGTACAAACTGGACAATTTTGTAATTAAGAAGATTTGTAACCAGGTGAGGTCGGGTCACCTTACCATCTGACCTGACCACCAACCGTTGTGTGCTATTTAAAGATTAGTAGGGTCATTACCTAACACCTGACCATTGTGGACCTGGTCTCACCCTCCTCTTTATATATACACCTTGGTTTGTATTTCTCTTTAGTCTGTACTCACCCCTGAAGATGTGAATTACACGAAAGCGCTTGGGAACTTCGTGTTTTCTTCTTTCCTTGTGGTTATCAGCATATTTATATATATATATACAGTGGTCCCTCGGTTTACGAAAACAATTGGTTCTGCAGAGTCGTTTGTTAACTGAAAATTTCGTTAACCGAATCTATTATTTCAATGGGATATTGGGTAATTGGTTCCAACTCACAGAAAAAGTATACATACAAAGTACTGTATACTGGTAATAGAATTAACAACCCATTAAATATAAACTAAATACAGTACTGTACTGTGCAATAATAAATACAAACACAATAGAATACTGTATTTTAACTTACTTTGAGGTGTGTATGTCATATTACCAGCAGCTTTGTTTACATATCAAACAACTGATTGTAAAGGCAGTTGATGATGACATGCCATATTCTTTACAGAGTGCATTGGTTCTAATGCCTTCTTCGTGTTTCATAATAATTTCTGCACTGTATATTATCAATATGTTAACTAAATTTCAGAATGACCAATAATTTTAATGTAAAAATGCAAAAATATTCAAGAGACCAACAAAATCGATGGTCACTCCACTGTAAACAAAGTTAAACTGAGAAGCGTTGTTGGGTGATTCAATCAGCTGATGGGCACACAAAAACTGTTCCCTGTACTGTCTATATTATCATATTATCAATATGTTAACTAAATTTCAGAATGACCAATAATTTTAATATAAAAATGCAGAAATATTCAAGAGACCAACTTTCTAGATATTTACTCCACTGGAAACAAATGTAAAAATAGAACCAATTACTGTATTGGCAGACTAGCCGATCAGCTGATGCATGCAACAAAACGTGTTTGTCGTAAGGATTTCGTTAATCGAAGTTTTGTTCGTTAATCAAACTGAAAATCCTTATGGGAGCTAATTCGTTAACAGAAATTTCGTTAATCGAAAGGTTCGTTAGCCGAGGGCCCATTTTATATATATATATATATATATATATATATATATATATATATATATATATATATATATATATATATATATATATATATATATATATATATATATATATATATATATATATATATATATATATATATATATACACACAGCATAGTCCTCATTTATGCGGTTTTTGTTTACGCGTTTGGTCATTTACGCGGCACCTTGCCAGAATGAAATGTTTTAACTATGCGGTAAATTTCATAATTTACGCGGGAAGCAGCGTGGGCAGGGTGTGCAAAAGGTCGCCCAGTTAACAAAACATTACCGAGTTCTTCACCCGCCACCCACCACAGCCAGCCCAAGTCAGTGATAGTGATAGTGAGGATATGGACTTTGAGGGGTTTGACAAAGAGGCCCTGCAAACCTCTGTGGTTTTTACTACAACGTACGTAACGTATTGTGTCTGGGTGAAGTATAATTTGTTTATTTATTGAAGATATTTGTTTTTAGCTCATAAAATTTATAGAAATTACCAGGCCAGAATATAATTTACATTGCTGGAATTCTTATAAGATGGTGATTAATTTAAATATATACATCCTAAAATTTGCATTAGACATACAAATTTTAGATCTAATTTAAAAACTTTATTAGAGACAGCAAAAATTTTATCTTTTATGCAAAATATATGACGTTTATGTTAAAAATATTTTCAGTCTTGCAAGGAATCCAGCAATGTCAATTATATTATCCTAACTTTAGTTTGAGGTATTAATTATTACTAAACCGGTAAGCCTAGTGTTTTTCCCCAAACATTTCTCTGGTAGGGAGGGAAGGTGGGGGGTAGGGAGGGACCCAGCGAGCATGGGAAGAGGGGGGGGAGCGGGAGGTGGGGTATTTTGATTGACAGATAGTGTCTGGGTGAAGTATAATTTGTTTATTTACTGAAGATATTTGTTTTTAGCTCATAAAATTCATAGAAATTACCCGGCCAGAATATAATTTACATTGCTGGAATTCTTATAAGATGGTGATTAATTTAAATATAAACATCCCAAAATTTGCATTAGACATGCAAATTTTAGATCTAATTTAAGAATTTTATTAGAGAGAGCAAAAATTTTATGTTTTGTGCAAAATATATGACGTTTATATTCAAATTATTCACAGTCTTGCAAGGAATCCAGCAATGTCATTTATATTATCATAACCATAGTGTGAGGTATTATTTATTATTAAACCTAAAAACCTAGTGTTTTCACCCAAACATTTCTCAGAGAGGGAGGAGCCAGCGAGCTTGGGAAGAGGGGGGGGGGAGAGTAGAGTCCATTATTTGAATGGACATTAACCAGCGACTGTATTTCTCTTAAATATTAATTGTGTGTGCATACCATCATAAAATTAAGATGTTATTTTTACTACAACATCCGTATTGTGTCGGAAAAAGCGTAGTTTGGGGGTTGGCCCAGTCTCTATTTCAATTAATACCATATGTCCTGTTATTTTGTTAACGCGTTTCTCGTTTTACGCGGACCTCCATGGGTTCAATTGACCACGTAAATGAAGACTATACTGTATGTATATATATATATATATATATATATATATATATATATATATATATATATATATATATATATATATATATATATATATATATACAGGTTGATTATCTCTTTTATCCGAAATCCTTAAATAGAGGTATTTTGCTTTAATTTTCGGTTTTCGTAGGAATGGTTAGGTTTTTTTTTTTTAATGTGTATTAGCCCACCTGGGCATAGATCACTGACCCAATATTGGGGCTCTGGGGGTTTAGGTATTGTAATATAAATAATAATAATAATTCATAGGTCTAGGTCGCATTTCTCACTTTTGATCTTTTTTTTCATTCTTGTATTTCTTTATTGTTATTATTTTATTACAGTATTATTGATATTATTATTATTAATTTTAATATTATATTTTATTATTACTATTATTATTATTGTTATCATTATTTTTTTATTTTGGTGTTCAGTATTTTAATTAAAATTTTTATTTACTATGAATAATTATTATTATTATAATTATTATTACTATTACATTTTCGCCAACCAGGCCCCGATGTGAGTCAGTGATTTATGCCCGGGTGGGCTAATCCCTGTTTAAAAAAATAAATAAAAATGCCCCACATAAAAAACTTTCGGTTTTTAGAGCTTTTCAGTTTTTGGAATTTCGGATAAAGGGTTGTCAACCTGTTTATATATATATATATATATATTATATATATATATATATATATATATATATATATATATATATATATATATATATATATATATATATATATATATATATATATATATATTATATATATAGTTTGTACAATATTTATGATTATTAAAAAAAATCACCATTTTATAATTTTCCAAAGGGTTACAGTAAACAGTGTATTATTAGATCCCTAAAAAGCTTCAACGAAACTCCTACCTGTAATGCACTTGATGGGATAATCACAATCAAAATATATCATGACTCTTACAGTACTTTTGGGCATCTATGAAATGTTCAACTTTTGAAATGGTGTACTGCAAGACCTCATAGGAAATACAGGCTGCATAGCTCCATTTTAAGAGAAGACTCAACAAATCTAGACGAACATGGTATGGCATTTCCATCTGGAGTTAAAAGGCCGAACTTATTGAAGCAGAGCTCAGTAAATGCCAAAGATGGACACACTAATCCTCTGTGTGTCTCTTAACTCCGTCATACATCTTATTATTTATATAAGTTCAAGCTCTTTGTAGCAACCTGGGGCACAAGAACTCTAAGGCTACATGACTATTGGTTCAGTGTGCACAGACTCTGGCTCAAGGTCTGCACACTCTTTAGTTTGAAATCACTGCAGATCAAATTTTCACAGTTCTTCATCAAATTATGCGCAGACTTTGTGCTTCTGAGCGGCTTCCTAAGAATCAAAGTTTAAATATTTCCTGAGCAAAGCAACATCAGGGATTTCATAAAAAAAAATCCACACTGTCCTTGTAATTTACCCTTTTGAGTAATACCTCTGAGTTGCATACAGTATATAAATTGTCCATATTGTAACTTGCTTTGATTTTTTCACAGGTTAATTTTTCCATTTCTAACACTTTTTTTGTTTTCAAAAACTTCTCAGCATTCACAGACTTTTGGCACTGAAAAATGCATTTCAGTTTCTTAGTCACATATATTGTGATGTCCAGAAACAGTTTTTCAATTAGTACAATTGTGGCAAAGTGAAATATATCACCTAAGAAATGTTACTTGAAACAATTGTTAGGATGTCCACTGCCAAACAGTTTCTCAATGGAGATTTTAGTAGACTTTCAAAACTCTTGTAAAATCAATTACAGTACTAACCAATGGAGACTGCACTGTTTTGGTGTTTGAGATATAAGAAGTGTTTATAGCACTAATGCGGTGGTTCAGTTTTGCATTAAATTTTCTCTAGCATTTTTACTGTTGTGGGTCATACTCTGCTATTGGTTCTATAGCTATTATAGCTTCATTAAACAGTAAAAAAAAAAGATTGCTTCATGTTGTGCTATGAATTACATTTTTGGTGGTTTGCCCACCTTGCTTTGTTCTATACCCAGTACTGGTTCTTCCTGAGCATGGGGTTGGTTGTCCTGGGCTGATGCTTCTCATAAAGCCCCCACTCCTCTGCCTGTTGAGTGTCCACACCGTAGGGATAGCCAGCCAGGTGTGGGTCGTAAGGAGGGTCACGTGTCGCTGTGTCTGTGCATAGGGGCGTCACCTGTGCCACCAAAAGGGAAATAAGGAAGGAAAAATTAAAATCAGGGAACTAAAATGACAGGAAAGATTTTGTATACAATTACAGGATTTCATGAAGTAATTAAATAAATGAGGTATCTTAATAAATTAAAAAAAAAATCTTAGTGATTATTAGATCAATTTTGAAAAGAAAATGTTTTTGAATGTGAAAAATAAAATAGAAACTAAGTAGACTTAAAATATCTAGCTCTTGGGAGATAGGAGAAACTGTACCTTGCACTGAGGCACTGCTGGTGACACCTCACGGGAGGCGTCGTGAGGCCACGAGGCCTCAGAGTCAGTGAGATGAGCAGCCAAACCCAACCCACCACCTCCACCACCATTGTGGTGGAGGTGAGGGTGGAGGTGGTGCCTCCCAGGCCTGGGAGACGACGGCAGCTCTGGGGGTCGGCACTCGAGTTCTGATAGGTCGTCAGTCATAAACGAGTTTGGCCTAGAATCTGATGGTAGTGGCGGTGGTAAAGATGCTACATCAGCATCCATTCCCACATCATTTCTTTTTGAGTGTCGACGTCTTGTAGCACAACGCACCACAATGATCACAGCAATGATTGCTACTACAGCAACAACTGCTGCTAATACCATCATTACATAATCTTCAGGAATACCCAGGAACAAACCAGAGTTTCCACTGCTTGGAGAATTGGGTTCTGAGCTGCCACGGATAGAAGTTGGATGGAGGTCTGGTCGCAGATGCCTCGGAGGTTCGGCACCCTTATCCAAAACTGTGCCAGCCTCTACCAATGTGAGATGCAAGGTGCCTTCAGCAGGTTGGACCCCAGGTGCAGGCACCTGAAGCACATAATGAAGTGCATCGTGCAAAGGTTCATCAGCTTTTAAATTGAGATTTCTGGCGACATAATATATTAAACCTGCCCTAATCTCTTCATGAGTAAATTGATGCACTTCATGTGAGCGACCTGATCTCCGCATTCGTCGGCTCACCTTCTTAATTCTACCGAAACGAGGTCGTCTCTTGACCTTGTATACTGGGTTACTTCCTGTGGTCATGGCAAGCTCTGAAGCATCAAGGTGTTCCAGGGATAGGCGTGTGCGACCACCCACTGCTGCTGTTAATGGTTTAGAATCCACCAATGGTAAAACTACTACACGAACCTCCACATCTTGCACTGAAGCTTCCCATGTCCAAATATCTACCCGGAAATTATCAGCGGGTTCACTCAGCTTCATCTGCATATAAAGTACATCACCTTTATCTACATTCACCTGTCCAAAAGTGTGTACCACTTGATCATTCATGTATAATTTACCAAACCTGGGCGATCTAGTTATATTGTAAAAAATATGGTTTTTGTTACCATTAGTTATGGCAGCAAGGTGTTGTGGTGATAGATAGGCAACTGTAGTAGCCTGGTGTAGAGGGATAACGGTGTGATTAACTAATTCAAGTGTCAGAGGCTCAATCTCAATTGTAAATACTGTATATTTGGGCATGTGCTTTCCATCAGACACTTTGAAGTAGAATCTGGCTGAACCGTTGGTACCATCATGGGCATACAAAATGCGGCCTGCATTTACATCAAGCTGGGAGAATGACTGAACAGCTACACTGTAATTGTCTGCTAGGATGAGGCGTCCATGGTCAGGTGCACTCATCAACTCATATATTATTTCATGTGGCATGTTATCAGGGTCAGTGGTCAAAAGGCTGTCGTTTGTGATGACTGCATTTTGCCGGTGCACGACTTGCAGGACAGGTCCCTCTGTTACCAACTTGAATGGCTGATCATTAACCGGAGTTACACTAACGTTTAGGGAACCATTGAACAAGAGCACATCAGGTGAGGATCCATTACCAGCCAAGGCAACTGTAAATCCTAAAGAATCTGACAGAGTGTCACTATGGTCATGGTCGTATTGTACACGACCTCTCTCAATATCACGGGCTGTGAAGGTATAACCTTCCGTCAGGTTTCTCTTGCGCAGTGTCAACACCCCATGAGTTGGGACATTGGTCACAGTAGTCACAAGTTTTGGTGAGGGCCGATCGATACTGCCGGCGCCAGGATAACCCTCGATAAACTCCAACACAGCAGAGAGATTTAGGTTATCAGGGCGCACAGTGGCCTGACCTCCCTCGGCCACCACTAGTGGTGCCAGCCCTAGGTACCGTTCCAGACCACCCCCTCCAGGACTAGCCACAGACACTTCCACATGGAATTCCTGGTTCTTGAGTGGCTCAGCAAATGGCGTCTCCACATCAAACATGAACATTTCGCTGGCAGAAAGTTCTGCAAATGGTCTGGTGTGCTCATATAAGACACGCGATTCATTTATGTGCCGCTGAGTGAAGTTTTCTACAGGTATTCGGACTCCTCCTGTCTCCTCTAGAAGCAACTGGCCTAGTGATGGAGGTTTACGTACAATGTAGAGTACTGAGTGGTGAGGATCATGGTCATTAGTCAGAGTGAGTAAAACGGCAGGGGTGATAGGTTGCTGCATCATGGGAAACACCCATAATTCCTTGTTGTGGCGCAAAGACAGATGAAGCTCCTTTGCTGTAATGGTGAACACGTGTGACCCCGTCTCGTGCACTTGATCACTTGCCTCCCATCGGAACATCCCAGACAAACCACCTATGCAGTAAAACAGATATATAGAATAGCAAGATAACATAGATCTTTATCAATATAAACATAATTTGTTATTACCAGGAAGGAGCATTATTACATAAATGCTATAAATAAATACTGTACAGCCTTATTTTAATTTTCTCCATTAAATCAATAATTCACAATTTTGTATCCATGCTAAGATGAAGAAAGGCTTCACTTATATATCGAGTACAGTCAGTTCTCCTATAATGCATGTTTTAAAAATGCAGTTTGGTTATAACGCAATGAATGTACAGTAATAGGGAACACAACATTTACAACATAGATGGGAATTGGGTATGTCAGCCAAGCAGAAATAAGTGATTATGCGGCTGCCTTGGTGAAACATCACACAAGGTGGGATGCTGCCCACGCCACTCACAACATCACACACATCAGTCTTTGTTTATCTTCTGTATGCATCACATGTGTTATCGCGGATTGGGCTTTAACTTAATATCAACTATATTAATTATAATGAGTTGCAGGGATGTGAAGCATTCTGGTAGTGGTGGCACTACACTGACTCCACCTCCTCCATTTTTGTTGTTGTTATGATGTTATTACTGCGCTTCAACAACGAAAGCCTTTAAGCACGTAAAATATTAAAAATTATTAGAGATAGAACTCTTGTTTTTTACACCTCTTCCATCTCCTCTTCCACCACTCATCTCAGCAGCAATCTTCTGTTTACTTAAAAAGGTTTTATCATCAAAAGTATTAAAGTGTTTATTTCATAATTTTCGTTGTCCACCGTCCTTCATGGCTACGCTTTCTATCGCTTAGCAACGTACAAAAGTCGTAGACTACCAGACTGTAACAAGCATTTTTCCCACTTTTTCATGTTTTTATTTTATTAATGTATAATATTAATTAATTACTAACCAAAAAAGAACACATAAAAACTGTTAATAATATAGTAAATTGTAAAGTAAATTTGTTTGTCATGTTCGTTTTTCACCCTTCACAGCTTCCTATCTAATCGCTTAGCAACATAGATATGCACTTGCACTGTAACGTGTATTTCCCCTTTTTCATATTTTTATTCCATTAATGAACGATATTGACAAACCAAAACACTGTTATGATAAAACAACACATAAAAATTAATAATAATACAGCAAATTGTAAAGAAAATTTGTTAATCATGTTGATGTTCTCAAACTTACCCCCAGCCCCTAATTCCCATGGAATCAATTGTTACTACAGGGGGTGTTGGTGGTAGAGTGGTACCGCTCTTGCCTTCGCAAGCGAGATGTCAGGGGTTCGATTCCCGGGCCGGTGGAAGTTGTTTGGACATACTTCCTAGCCCCCATTAGGCCCTGTTCACCTAGCAGTAAAGTAAGTACCCGGTGTAAATCGAAAGTTGCAAATTCGTATTCAGGGATAAGTTGTTGGAGCTTCCAATAACTTGATGACATAAACCATTGACTCTTCAGGGTTCTATGCCCTCGACTCTTCAGGCTTCTATGCCCTAACTCATGAGACATAAAGGCAAGCATGAACTTAGCATGCTTCCCTGTTGGGCACTGTAAACGCTTCTGCGCTTCACCTTACACAAGGATGTAGGGGAGTGCCAAATAAAAAAAAAAAAAAAATGTTACTACAATGCAATTTTTCCATAATACAATGTTCTTCAGGAATGTAACTACCACATGATAGGAAAACTGACTGTATGCTCTTTTATAACTCTTAAGGATATTTGTTTAAATGTTTAATGAAAACTGACAATTTTTTAACTGACAACATTTTCAAGAAAAAAATAGAAGGAAAAAAAATGCTATTGCTGATCCACTCCTGAATTTAAGTAGGTTTAAAAATTTACCCAGAAAAAAATTACTACACAAAACAGACATAAACATATTGTCCCTAACCCTCTCTTTCTCTTGTAATCTGATTTGTGATATTCTTTTATTATTATTAATCATCCTACAAAATGTCAACAAAACACACCTGTATGGACGAAAAAGATACGGCCATCATTCACATCTGTCTGGGAGAAGGATGATACTGGATGGGTGAGGTTGGGTGAGAGGGCCAGGAACCCAGAGTCTGGAGTGGCCACAGTGATACTTAAATTTGCTGGGGAAGTGTCAGGGTCCACTACAGCTGTAGAAGGATATAATGATTGTGGTAATAATTAGTTTAAGTCGAGAACTATTGCATCCTAAGCTAGAGAGGGACTGTCCCTCTCTCTCCAAACCCCGACATTTCCCTCTCTGTGATGGCTCCTGGCTCGTGATCATATTAAATCTTTGGTTAATATTGAAGAAGTAATTAATTTGAGGATTACTAACATAGAGAAATAAAATTTTTGACACTTGAAAAATAATTGAAATAATTTAATTGCATGTGCCTTCTGAGCGTCACACACCCTGTATATATTAGTAAGATTCTTCATTCACCCCAGAAGAGTACATTAAAAAATTTGTCTACTGAAAATTAGATAATACACAATTCATTCCATTTACTGTCTTCAAAGGAATATCATGATTTATAACATAATTCTTTTGTACAATTAATGTAATATATATATATATATATATATATATATATATATATATATATATATATATATATATATATATATATATATATATATATATATATATATACAGTATATATATATGTGTGTGTGTGTGTGTGTGTTTTGAAAAGATCATGAATACAGTACTGTTAAGGAGAAATTAGGCACTGAAAGCCTGCCCAGAAATTTTTAATTATTAATTAATTCACTTCTACGAAAGCAATTTTAGGAACTTTTCAATACAATAACAATGTGAAATACTCTCAATTATACTCATAATGTTACACTGCCATTAAATAAGACTCTTACACTGTCTTTCACTGAAATAATGTAGTGTATACTGTATTATTTTTTGCTTACTAACGTGGGCACCTTACTCTACTGATTAGTCACACAAACACACATCAACCCGCCTACTCCGGTGATCTTAGAAGACTCAGATTAGATCATCTTATTGAGTCTCTGATCATTCTACTATACAACTACTGTGAATTACAGATGTTGACTTAGTCTGATCCTAATTTGACCAACTGTATTGAGCCAATGCTGATGAGCATGATCCTAGCATAACCCTGCTTGTACAGTGTAATCATGCTTTGCTTATAATTATCACAAATGTACTTAATAAGCATCAGTTACTTTTAGCTGATTCCAGTTGACCCCAATTAACTTCAGCCAAACATTAGTTTGATCCCAGATGACATATTCCGATCTCCCTGACCCTAGTTTGACTGACCCAGGTTGGAGGAGGAGATGCTGATGGTGCTGCCCTCCCAAATAGTGAGGCCGGTGTTATTGATGACGAAGGGCGCCTCATCGTTGAGTCCATGCACAGAGACATTGACTTGGGCCGGGGAGCTCTGACGTACCCCAGATACTGCCACCAGACTGAAGGCATCTTGCAGGCGCTCAGATCCGTCGTGCACGTACTGGGGGTTGACAATGAGTCATGATAACAGTTATTTGCTTGGGGGGCAGAGGAGAAATGTGATTTGTGAAAAAAATAGGAGGGAGTTCACATATGACACATTACATATCTTTAAATTTGTATAATAAAAACCAGCAAAACTAATTTGGATCATGTCAACATTTTGAGATTTGTATTTTACCTAACTGAGGTCGTCATACACTTACATAAAATTCAAGACTATTCTGAATAGCCTTGAAGGATAACCACTTATGGGAAATAAGTGTTAAAGTAACTCATTATGATAGTGTTACGACCCTCCTTTCGCCGCTTACCCAGCTTCCACCGCTGGTTACCAGCGGCCAGATCGTATGTACAGAAACAGTAGATATATCATGGTAATTATATAGGACTAACCAGCGAGCGAAATTGATTGAAAACAATTATAAAAACGCCGTATTTTCATTGTTATATTATAGTGGGCACTGTTGTAGTTTGTGGAAATATGTTAAGAAATGGATATTTTAAAAGAAAACGTTACTTAACTTTTGTGGGTATGAAAACAGACCTAACCAGCTTAACCAAATAAATCTACCTAACAGAAAGAACTTACTAAGATATGGTGAAATTTGACATTTTCTGGACGTGAGATGATACGGCCGCACTGGCGCTATGCATCTCGGGCGGCAGAGTGATTTACTGTGTTGGCGGATTCCACAATAAATTATTATCGTATCAAACTCATTGATCAAAATAATGTAAGAAAATAAACAGTCTCTATGTAAAGGAACAATGCCGTGATCTTTAAACAATCGAAGGGTCTCGTTGTCTTTACCCCTAAATTCACAAATTACGTCCATGTAAGATAGGTGACAACCTTCACACGACATGCTGAAAAAAAAGCTGCCCCGTGCACGGGAAAAGCCCCTCAGCAGAGCGCAGCCTCATTACCACCCGCAAGACAAATTAGTGAGTGCCTAGGTCTCTAATTATCTCTGAAATGAACAATTTCTACAATAAATGATTATCATATCAGAACTCACTAATGAAAATAATGTAAGAAAATAAACAGTGATAAAAATAAGTCGTCCGCTAGTTAATCCTATATATTAACCGTACAGACAAACAACAAGCAGGTAGATTTCCACCAGGTCACAGACACACACTTGTGCACTGTAGTCTTAATAGTCACTAATTCTTCTCAATACTGTTCACAGCTTTACAGCTGGGCTTCTCACTTCGAATATATAGTCAGCACACTACCAATGTACAATTCCGTAGTCATTTCACTTTTATTTTGCTCACTAATATTTACTCAACAATTATCTTCAGTTGTCCTACTAGACTTGTACTGCATACTCAGAGCAGAAACGGTCGACTTACTGACAAGGCTGCACGCTGCCACCTATGTATCTCATCAGACGATCCTAGAACACTATAGCTGTATAGCACAACCTAAACCAATCTGGGAAGTTCTAGTACGTTCTACTCTGATCGAGGCTTACAATAAAAGTAAATCATAACAAAAATGATGCAATGCCTTCTAGAAAATTCTTACATCGGTAATACATCAATATATACTGTACAGGAAAATCTCCCTAAACTTGCCAAAATAACTGCTGCCTGGAATAGAAAATAATCAAAATACTTAGTTTATAAACATTATAATACCTTATTATGCCTTGGCATAACAATAATATGGAAATCTTCATGTCATAGAGTCTAGTCTTTACTAAATCATCTTTTTCTTATATTGTTTAACCTGACTTAAATATAAGTACAGTTACCTAAATATATCCACTCTCCATGCAGACCCCTTTTCCAGCTTCTACCATACATCTACATAATCCTTCCTTCAGCTTATCCCAATCATCGAAATAAGTATATGATAAAGCTGCCCCTATTCACCAAGAAAAGCATGACTCCTGCTGCTAATACTCACCGATATAAGCCCCTGCTCCAACTGCAATGGTGTGAACGCCTCCACCCTCTGACGGGGTCTGGTTGATAGCTCCAGCTGCCCTGTCACCGGCTGAACCGCCACAAGGTATTGGGCAATTTTGTCCGTGTAATATTCAGTCAACACCGTCACTACGGAGGCGGTCACTATCGTCTGCGATCCCTCGTCCACCTCCAGCAACCCAGTCGACAGGTAAATTGTCTTAGGGATTACCTTTGGGAAATATATTTTGAGGTTACTTAATTTATTAGTATATTTACTGTAATATATCCCAAAAGGCAGATAGATTACCTTCTGTCTCAAAAAGAACATTCTAGCCAAATAATCAGGAATCACAAACTTTCTTTTTCCTCATACACTCTGTGTCATTACCAAAGAGAGAATACTAAATAAATACATGGGTGTTGTTAGACTAGTGTATTACTAACCCTGTTACATGCTTAAAGACCTTCGTTCTTGAAGCACAATAATAACATAACAATAACATGTGCGCCTGCTGGAACTTTTGCAGGGAGGGGGGGGGGGTGGACAAAAGTCCCCAAGGACAAAATCCTCCTGGGCAAAAGCCTGTAAGGACAAAATACCCCATTTAAAGTGCATAATGGTGACAAAATACCCCATTATTTATATATTTCTAAAGGTTAGGTAAGGTTTGGTTATGGTTTTGTCCTAGAGGGATTTTGTCCTCGGGAGTTTTTAGTCTGAGGGATTTTGTCGGAGGAGGATTATGTACCCCACTCGGCAAGGGGATATGCTAGCTCCCACAGTCGGGTTTGGTAGGTAATAATTTAGTTTTGTTTTTGTTTTTTCCCTAACTTATTACAGTACTATATACTACATAATGAGGTTGATGGAAGTTGACACATCAAGTTTACTTGAATTTATTAAGCTAAAGTTACATGAAACATATAATACTATTTTTTATTGCGCATGTTGTTTCGGTTAATATCAGAGCAATAATAATTATTTAATAGAATGAAACAGGTCAGCGTGTTAGCAAATCCCGAGGTCCATCATAATGGTTCCTCTTTTGGCAAGAAAGTTTCAATTCAGGTGGCTGCTTTAAGTTTTAAATTTCCTATAATTTAATGATTTTTACAGTTTGGTTCTTGAATTCTTCTCTTGTAAGCTTTGACATTTGTAATGGGTGAAATGAGTACAGGCCAAAATTTTGCCTGTTTCAGGAGTACATCAACCTTCCAATGAAGATATGACGGGTTCCAAATATGGTACATAAACTGATCTACGAAAATACTCTTCTATAGTAGATTCCTTGATATTTGAACGGGAAGGGTTAGCTCAATGTCCAACTCTGCTGCTAATTGTGACGATCTATAATCATGGTACAGTCAGGGAAAGGTGTTCCTATACCCCTGTGATATCCCCAGTCAAGATACGTACAGTAACATGCATGATACCTTATATTAGTCCAATCCCCAATCATCTCTACTACTGCGATGCTGCTGCCGCATCTTGACTCGGGATATCACAAGGGGTATAGAAACACAAGTACCGTAGCAACGTTGAATAGTAACAGTATATCTAAAAATCACCATATTGGATAATAAAAATGACATCTGATCTAAAATCACTGACTTGGTATAAATGTCGGAGCTGTAACACCAAAAACTTGATATAAAATTATGGTACCACAGAAAAATCACGCCAATATCTTTTAAATAGATATCAAAATTTTCTTACCTTATAACCCTGTGTATTCCAACAGAGTAAATGATTGAATCGAAAACAGAAGTGGTCAGTGTCACGATGGCGTCTTGTATAAAACTAAAGTAGCTGTGTGAATGGTCTGCTCTATATGACCAGATCTAATTTTACCGGTGTTGTTAAACCACTAAGTCTAGGGCCAGGAGAGCCTTAACCTACCTAAACGTCACATACTGTACCTGCTTGTCTGATACAAGCAAAATGATTGCGTTAATACCCTGATCCAACCAAACACAGCTTCCCTTTAACACAAGCTTCATCCAGGGGAAGAGAGGCAATTCCCCCCAGTGGACGCCCATGAATAAATAGGAAAGTGTAAAACGGTTAAAAACATCTTAGCAAATTAATAGTCAAAGGCTAAAATCACTATCAAATACCACAACCTTGGCCTTCATACCTGTATAGTAAAGATGAGGTGGGAGAGACTGGAGATGCCGTTGGTAACATCGAAGACGAAATGATCATTTGTGACGTTGGTGCCCACCTCTACATACTGGACTCGACCCTCATTGATGAGCGCCTGGTCGAAAACGCTTACCTACCACGTACATACAGGTAGAGAATCAGTGAAACAGTATATGGATAGAATAACAGGTGCTTCTATAGTATGCGGTCGACCGGGGTGCCCAATAAACTAGCCACCTCGCGTGGCAAATCTGAAAATCTGAATTTACACAAAAGTATATGGTCTACCGGGCTGGAGTTGGTCTACAGGGATACAGTACTTACACTGTAGCGTCCATTAACCTAAGCTAACCTAGGTTAATGGACGCTACAAATATCCAGGTCGAACAACTCCAACCCGGTAGACCTACAGTAGTAGCACCCAGTAACAATAACTATACCAAATATTCATATTAGAGCCCGGATGTTCAGGCAAAAATGCCGAACTGTATATGTCTATTTTTGGCAATTTCAATATAAATTATTTTTTTAATATGCTTATTTTATTTTTTTTGTCATTCTGCTATAGGAGAAACGCCAAAGTGTTTTTGAATGACTATTTGGCTGTCCTTAACACACACACACACACACACACACACACACTTCCTCCCTAAATGCCACACAACGTAAACACCTAGAAAAAGTGCAAAAGAGGGCATGCAAGATTATTCTCTCCCCTTCCTACTCCACATATCAAGAAGCGCTCAACACACTGACCCTTTCGACTCTCACTGACCATCACCACGACCTCATCTGCAAATTTGGTAAGAAGCTTCTACACCATCCTCGACACCGGCTCCTACTACCACCTGAGATCCCTAGTCCGAGAATTGCTGTTCGACACCACAACCGCATCCAGCCCATACGTGCACGAACTGATCGCTATAAGAACAGCCCAGTCCCAACCATTGTAAAAATTATCAATAACTTGTAATAAACCAGTGTATTCACTCCCAGTAAACACTACTCCTTGCACTGTCACTATGTTGAAATGAACTGTAGTTTGAGCTTTTCCTCATCTAGTTATTATATGTCTTATTTGTGTCACTTATGTTACTTGTATATTATTTGTAATTCGAAACCCATTCCCCAAATATGTAACTGTATATTTTCAGCCTTTGGCTGCCAAGCTCTTTCAATAAACCGTTAATTATTATTATTATTATTATTACACACACACACACACACACACACACACACACACACACACACACACACATATATATATATATATATATATATATATATATATATATATATATATATATATATATATATATATATATATATATATATATATCCAACTCCTTTCCAAGAAGCAGATTACTTTATGTTAAAATCGAACATTTCCTCCAGCACCACTGTGAAGGGCACTAGACACGTGTATGACGGGTACAGTACGTGTGAATGTATCCCGACACGGCGCTCCGTTCTCTGCGGCGTAGTCTCTGTTATGAGAACTTCTATTTTACAATGTGTGAAAAAAACTACCGGTAGTATCCTGTATTTTCTAACTGAAGAAAGGTTGTTAGGATGGAAGAATTTGACAAGCTGGTATCAAAATTGTTATGCTGTGGTGCAACCTGTAAATGCAACTTTCAGTATTTTTGCTGGGAATGGGACAACTGGCCGACGCCATCTGGCCGCAGCCCAACTGGCCGCGGGAAACTCGCCGCGGCCGACTGGCCGCCGCGGACTGGGGGTAAACTGCAAACGCCTAATTTTGCGCTCTCAAGGCAGCTCCTTAAACCCCCACCAGCGAACGATTGATTCGTGAATGATTAAAAACAAGTCAATTCTGAATTCAACATACAAAAAAACAGTAAAACTATGTACTAAAAAATAAAATAAGAGAAACTTAGATAATAGAACTGATTCTTGTATTCTGTATTCAGTCCTGAAGATGTAATATACGAAAGCGCTTGACACTTCGTATTTTCCTTTTCATGGCCAGGTTAGGTTAGGTTAGGTTAGGTTAGGTTAGGTTAGATTTTTGCATATGTATCTTTTATTATTTTATTCCAATAAAGTACTTCATAAAGAAATTTTAATCCTCTTTTTTTTATCACACTTTCATCAATTTTGTCAAAAAAAAGTTCCATATGGCGGCCATTCGGCCGCGGCGAGTTTCCCGCGGCCAGTTGGGCTGCGGCCAGATGGCGGCGGCCAGTTGTCCTTGACCCATTTTTGCTCATGATTACTCTGACAAACAGCAAAGTTTCAGTTGAATAAATGATAGTTAACCAAGAAATGTATTTGCAAAAAAAGCCATTTTAGCTATGGTTACAATAAATTGACTGGTTAACTATCATTTAATTTATTGATAGTGTTGTAATATTATGCATAATATTTGTATTATTATTTTTGGCCTAAAATAATTTATGCTATTTTCGGTTTTTTGTTGCCTATTTTTTTCTATTTTTACTTTGTTTGGCCTATTTGGCCTTTTCTAAGATTTTAATAAAGTGCCTAATATCTGGGCTTTAATAGTTAGATACTGCAATAAACACTCAAAAAGTTGTAGAAATAACTGTACTCTTTGATAGGATCTGAATCCACACAGTCATCCAGATTTGGAATTTTTACTGAACTAAAACGAATCCCAGAGGAAAAAGGAGAAAGATTTTGAGATATATCTTTTTGTAAGTTTTTGTATAATTTAATGAAAATGAGAAGAAATATTGACTAGAGCTGTACACCACGGTGATCAGCAAAAATAACCTGTATCAAATAAAATACATTAGTACATGATTACATCATTTTTATATAAGAAAGAATACAAACTACTGTCAGTGATCTTCTTAATGAAACTACAGTATTAAATTAAATACACTTAAGATTTATGCCACGGCGTCAGTCCGGAGACAAAATTAATTTTTAATCTCCATTACATTTGTCTGGATGTTTGTGAACCAGATAGGATTTTACCACATGCCGAGGCTGGACCTATCTTGAGTGTAGATGATGTTCTAAACCAAATAAAAAAAAACAGAAGAAGGTTGGTGAGAGGAAGTGAGGCTTATAAAGAACTTCACAGCTAAGTAAACAAAAGTAGACAGAATATAGGGTTTCTACAAACAAAGAAGAAATTCATTGAGATGATGATTGCAGGAAAATGTGTTTACCCAGCCTCCACCACTGGCTACCACCGGCTAGGGTCGTATATGTACAGAGCAGTAGATATCTGGCAAGAGTTGGTTGTCGAATTAGCACTGGCTGTCGCGGCAGTCTCCGGTAATTCTCCGACAATCGGTATCAGTGTATAGACAAACAATAGGCAGGTAGACTTCCACCAGGTCACAGAAACACACTTGTGCACTGTAGTCTTCTTTAATAAACATTAATCCTTCACAACACTGTAACAGGGTAATGTCATCACAGCTTAACTCCACACTTCATATACTTAGTCAGCACACTACCAGTTTACAATTCCTTAGTCTTCTCACTTTATATTAATCACAAAAATTCCGCTATACTTGCACTACAATTGTCTTCAGTTGTTTTGCTAGGCTTATTAGTCTTTACACTAGGAACAGGGGCGAGCAACTAACTGCCCCTATGATGATGATGATGATAATGAAGTAAAGTGGCAAATGACTTTGCACTGGGAAAGGAGAGGAGAGAGAGAGAGAAGTAAAGCATGGAAACGGGAAGAAAAGTGGGAGGGGTAGAAAGCAGGTGGGCTGTCCACCTAGCGGAGACGAGTTGAAGTGATGGGGTGGTAGCCTCACGCAGCACACGCCCGCCCGCTCAGGGAGGGAGGTTGAGGGGGGGGGGGGAGGGAAGCTAAGCTAGCTAGGTATTCATTATTGTAATGGGTGTTAATTTTTGTTTGTCCGATGGTGGTGTTATTTGTTCACATATATGTGTAAAGTGGGTCTTGTTCTGCTATGTCAGCATGGAGGCTCTTAGGCCACCAGCTGTGTGTTTTAGTAGTTCCTTCTTCTTTTAACTTGGAGAATAATGGGTCCTCCATCTCTTCAAGTTTGATCCATATTCTCTGTGCTTGGCTGTGTGTACGTATGTTCAGTGGTTCGATATTGTATAATTCGTGAAGTTCTTGTATTTTGGTGGTGTAGTGGACGTCTCTACAAACTGCGTAGCTGCACACCACCTGCTACCGTCTTCCCTAGCAACCAAGCGTATCCGCATTCCAATGCCCGCCGTATCTTAGCAACGGAACTAGTCACCGGCTACTTCTCGGGTTTTCCCAACATGACTCATAGAGGACTGGCGGCCGCTGCTGGGTGTATATAAGCTCTGTCTCGCCATTGAGATTGATTCTGACCAATCTTCTTGAACAAGCAACATCTCCTCCTCCGCCGCTGCCTGGCTGCCCCTCGCATCTCCTCGCCTGCCTGGCGGTCCTCGCTCCCGCCGGCGAGCATGGCGACCCACCAGCTGTCCTTCCCTGAGCTTCCTCACCAACCAACTCTCATTCTGCCCATTTTCCTGGACAAGCAACATCTCCTCCAGCAAGCTCCACGCTGTTAACATTTCATTCAACCAGGAGGCCAGCAACAGGCAACATCTTCTCTAACGAAGCTCCTGCACATCTACCTCCTTCAACAAGCTACTCCTCGCACGTCTCTACCAAGCAGCCCCTCACCACACAGCACCTCCAGCACCAGACTGTCTATCATATAACTTATATATTATACAAGAAAACCACATTAGAGTTTCCTTCCATACTGAGTGCTAGACAACTTTAATATCTCGATACCCCTACAATGGTGACTCCCGGAGATTAGCACTCACACAGGATGGAGGAGACACTGATCACGCTCCCAGTCTTCAAGCAGACACCGGCTCCTCTTCCTGCCCCAAGCACCGCTTTCTGACGACCCCAGCACACCAGTCATGCCTCATACGCCGACCCCGGCCCAGCAATAACCCCTGACGCGGCCTCTGTTCCTGAATCCAGACCCACACACCCCTCTTTTCTCCCTCAGGTACTCCCTGCTAATGTCCTGCACCCTGCTGCTGTCGTGGACCCAGCTGCTGTCACAAGCCCTAATCCGCTTCTGCTGACGCAGCCCCTGCTCCTGACCCAGGCCCACACACACCCCAACAGGCGCATCTGACGACCCTGTACCTGTCGTGAGGGAAGCACAACATTCATCGCCTCCACACACCCTTTTTCTCCCTTCTCCCACAGATAGTGTGTATCTAGACAGTTGTATTTCAGCGATCGGCTCATCACGCCATCGCCGTTGTCTCACATGAGGCATGCACCGCCCGGTCTTCCTCACATGTGCTAAGCAACTCTACAAACAACAAGTCTCCTACACCGCCTGGAGGGGAGGGGGAGTATCATAGTGGACGTCTCTACAAACTGCGTAGCTGCACACCACCTGCTACCGTCTTCCCTAGCAACCAAGCTTATCCGCATTCCAATGCCCGCCGTATCTTAGCAACGGAACTAGTCACCGGCTACTTCTCGGGTTTTCCCAACATGACTCATAGAGGACTGGCGGCCGCTGCTGGGTGTATATAAGCTCTGTCTCGCCATTGAGATTGATTCTGACCAATCTTCTTGAACAAGCAACACCTCCTCCTCCGCCGCTGCCTGGCTGCCCCTCGCATCTCCTCGCCTGCCTGGCGGTCCTCGCTCCCGCCGGCGAGCATGGCGACCCACCAGCTGTCCTTCCCTGAGCTTCCTCACCAACCAACTCTCATTCTGCCCATTTTCCTGGACAAGCAACATCTCCTCCAGCAAGCTCCACGCTGTTAACATTTCATTCAACCAGGAGGCCAGCAACAGGCAACATCTTCTCTAACGAAGCTCCTGCACATCTACCTCCTTCAACAAGCTACTCCTCGCACGTCTCTACCAAGCAGCCCCTCACCACACAGCACCTCCAGCACCAGACTGTCTATCATATAACTTATATATTATACAAGAAAACCACATTAGAGTTTCCTTCCATCCTGAGTGCTAGACAACTTTAATATCTCGATACCCCTACAGTGGTGTATGGCGGGAGTTGCTTTGATGCTCTACGGAAAACTTTGTTTTGTACTGCTTGAAGTTTAAGTTGGCTGGATTTGCTGATCGAGTTGAGTGGTATTGGTGGATATTCTAGGTGAGGGCGGACAAGTGCTTTGTATAGATGTAGTTGAATTTTGGTGACCATTTTGCTGAATCGTCGTAGTTTCGTGAGTTGTGATTGGGCAGTCTGTTTGCGTTGTTTTACGTGTTTTGCTATGCCTGTTTTTGTTATTGTGAGTCCCAAAATTTTGCCTTCGTTGGAGTATTGTATAGGTACGTTGTTGACTGTGATTGGTGCAGGGTTTATTTTGGCAATGTGTATTATCATTAGTTTCTGTGTATTGGTTTGAATTTTCCATTTTTTTTCATATTCGTTAATTTGCTCGATGGCGTGGGCTGTTTTCCGTGCCATCATCTGTTTGCCCTTGCCTGGATGTCGGATGATTTGGGTGACGTCATCAGCATAAGCTACGTATTCTCCGTGTATAGGAGGTGGCATGTCCGCCGTATATATTGTGTAGAGTGTGGGCGAGAGGTTACTTCCCTGTGGTACTCCGCTGTATAATTTGAAGCTTGGGCCTATGTGGTTACCTATGATAATTTTGGCCTCTCTATTGTCGAGGAAGTTGCAAAGAAAGGAAGTTAAGTTGTTGGGAAGTTCTTGGGTGGTAATTTTGTATTTGAGCCCTAGGTGCCAGACCTTGTCGAATGCTTTTGCTACGTCCCTTAATACTACGTTACATTGCTCCTTGTTGTGCATCGCGTTTGCTATGTTTTCGTAAGGGAATATTCTCCTGGGAATCTGTGAGGAACTCAAGCAAATCATCAACTGGGACTTTTGTAAACAGTGATGTTACATCAAAACTGACCAGTTTAAAATCATAATTAATGTGTAAGTTATTGAGTTTGTCAACTAAATCCATATTATTCTTAATATTAGTTTGATATGTTGCCAACTAGGGGGTTTAGTAGAGAAACTAGCCATTTAGACAACTTATAAGTATAGCAGTGAAGGAGACATTGAAGAAAACTGTTTAATTAGATTATCTTCACCTTTCAATAGAGACTTAAGTTTTTTGTTAATCTGAGTGTTAACTGTGTTGAGGGGATTATTTATGAGCTTAGAATATGTTGCAACATCACATAAAAGGTCATTCATTTTAGATAGATAATTACCTTTGTTTAAAAATCACTACAGTGTTGGCTTTATCTGCTCAAGTAACATGTAAATCCTTATTTCGTGCATTACACGAAAGCGCTTGTGAACTTCGTGTTTTCTTGATTCCTGTGTGGTTATCAGCATATACATGGATCACGCGCACCTACAGTGATTTATATTTATATATATATATATATATATATATATATATATATATATATATATATATGTCTTGAATAAAGACGAAAAGCTAAGGTACTCCGTTGTTTCCATTTTCCGTGTGATTTTATCAAAATATATATATATATATATATATATATATATATATATATATATATATATATATATATATATATATATATATATATATATATATGCTGATAACCACAAGGAAAGAAGAAAACACGAATGAAATATGTTTTACTTAGGCCAGACAGGTAAAGATCTTGCAACCAGAATTAAACAACACAAATACAGTGTTAGGACAGGCCAGGAATCCAATGCTCTGTTTGTTCATTTGAGGGATAACAAGCATCGCATTGACTGGGATAATGCCTCCTCAATATTACCTTGTAATTCAATTGACAGTAGGAACATCATGGAATCTAGTCTTATTAAACATACCGAAGCATTCAACATGAATTTGAGTAACGGCCTGTACAAACTGGACAATTTTGTAATTAATAAGATTTTTAACCAGGTGAGAAGGGCGGGTCACCTTACCATCTGACCTGACCACCAACCGTTGTGTGCTATTTAAAGATTAGTAGGGTCATTACCCAATACCTGACCATTATGGACCTGGTCTCACTCTCCTCTGTATATATACACCTTGTTTTGTACTTCTCTTTAGTCTGTACTCACCCCTGAAGATGTGAATTACACGAAAGCGCTTGGGAACTTCGTGTTTTCTTCTTTCCTTGTGGTTATCAGCATATATATATATATATATATATATATATATATATATATATATATATATATATATATATATATATATATATATATATATATATATACACTGAGTACTTGTATATGACGGGTCTTGAATTGGCAGTCGGGGTATAAATTGATAGTCTATGTAAGGACACAATGTGTAAGTGAAGATGATGGTAAAGGAAGCTTGCTATGTTAGGTGTCGTTGGTGTTGGTGTGGCTGATGGAAGATATTGGGTAATGGTGATGGAGAATATATGGAAAGGGTGATGGGAGAGATGTTGAGAGGGTAATGAGGGGGATGTTGGGAGGATGATGTATATGAGAGTGGGTGATGGCCGAAATATGGAGAGGGTGACGAGGTAGATCCTGGGGTGGGTTGGATGCCAAGAGTACCGAGTTGGGTGATGGGAATACAGGATTGAGTGGGGATTGTGGAGGAAGGTAAGTACAGTTCGGTAGACTACGGAAGAAATGGTAATGTGGGTGGATAATGTTAATAGTGTTTGCTTGTATTACAATATAGTTATTGTGCAGTCATGTACTGTAAGTGACAGAAACTTTATTTGGAAAGACATCTGTCGCTAAATTTACGTAGGAGAACTCGGCAAGCACATTACTTATCTTCACACATTTCCTCTAAACATCTTACAACTCAATGCTGTACTCGATAAACGAAACTAACAGAACACATACAATATTACTGACACAATTCACAAGTTTATAGCACCTCAGAACAAGCCAGGTTAAATCGTGCATCGAGGATAAGACCTACCTCAGGTCTGAGGCGACTAGCATCGTCCTCGTACTCGGAAGTAGTAGTTTGTCCAAGGTCGACCTCCAGGTAGCCATTCTGAGGGCGTTGGACGATGACGTATGTAATATCTGATGGAGCTATGTTGGGATGCATGATCTTGAGGGCAGCCTGGTCAATGGTGACTCTCGAGCCTTCCTCTACCTTGACTGTGGCGTTGTTCAGCACCACTAGAGGCTCCCAGTAGCTCTCCGGGTACACCTGCAGCCACAAGAGTGAAAGGGTATGAGGAGGAGAAGAGAGGAAAGAAAAAAAAAATAGAGATATTCGTAATTAGAACCAAGAGGGAGAGTGTGAGGAACGAGATTAAGGAAAGTTGCAGTATTAAGAGGTGCTTACGTGAAGAAAAACAGTGAAAGAGGATCACAGTAATAGGAATATAATTGGAAGGTAAAAGGAATGGAAAAAAAACGAATGGAAAAAAAAACAGATGAAAGGAGGAAGTGAAGGATTTATAAGAAAATAAAAACAAGCTGACTATCGTTAGTTATCAGTGACTTTTTATCAATATATTTCAATGAGCAATAGTCATGCATTACCTTTCTTTTATGTCTACAAATATTTGTTTTGCCATCAGAATATCACATTAATTATCTAGTGTGCTTTTTTCTCTCTGTTTGGTGTTATATTAAACATTTCGAGAGGTGCTTTCATCAGTTAAAACTTTATTCCGGTGGATTTGAATCTAATTAAATTACATAATTATGTCGGAGTATGTAATCATGAACTGATAAGTAAACTGAGTAAAATTAATCTATACTGTATGGAGAGAATAGGAGCTGTGGAGTCATTAGTTTATAAAATGCCGCTCACTTTACTTTATTACAGACGTCAATCAACTTATGAACAAGTAGTACAGTTGTAAGGTTTATCAGTATTAGTGTCCACTGAAGGGTAAACTAAATCATAGTGCTACAGTAGTGTTCACTGAAGGGTAAACTAAATCATAGTGCTACAGTAGTGTTCACTGAAGGGTAAACTAAATCATGGTGCTACAGTAGTGTTTACTGAAAGGTAAACTAAATCATGGTGCTACAGTAGTGTTCAATGAAGGGTAAACTAAATCATGGTGCTACAGTAGTGTTCACTGAAAGGTAAACTAAATCATAGTGCTACAGTAGTGTTCACTGAAGGGTAAACTAAATCATGGTGCTACAGTAGTGTTCAATGAAGGGTAAACTAAATCATGGTGCTACAGTAGTGTTCAATGAAGGGTAAACTAAATCATAGTGCTACAGTAGTGTTCACTGAAAGGTAAAGTAAACGATGGTGCTACAGTAGTGTTCACTGAAGGTAACTAAAAAGTGCATGGTGCTACAGTAGTGTTCACTGAAGAGAAGGGTAAACTAAATCATAGTGCTACAGTAGTGTTCACTGAAGGGTAAACTAAATCATAGTGCTACAGTAGTGTTCACTGAAGGGTAAACTAAATCATGGTGCTACAGTAGTGTTTACTGAAAGGTAAACTAAATCATGGTGCTACAGTAGTGTTCAATGAAGGGTAAACTAAATCATGGTGCTACAGTAGTGTTCACTGAAAGGTAAACTAAATCATAGTGCTACAGTAGTGTTCACTGAAGGGTAAACTAAATCATGGTGCTACAGTAGTGTTCAATGAAGGGTAAACTAAATCATGGTGCTACAGTAGTGTTCAATGAAGGGTAAACTAAATCATAGTGCTACAGTAGTGTTCACTGAAAGGTAAAGTAAACGATGGTGCTACAGTAGTGTTCACTGAAGGGTAAACTAAATCATGGTGCTACAGTAGTGTTCACTGAAGGGTAGTGCTAATAGTGTTCACTGAAGGTAAACTAAATCATAGTGCTACAGTAGTGTTCACTGAGGGTAAACTAAATCATAGTGCTACAGTAGTGTTCACTGAAAGGTAAAGTAAACGATGGTGCTACAGTAGTGTTCACTGAAGGGTAAACTAAATCATAGTGCTACAGTAGTGTTCACTGAAGGGTAAACTAAATCATGGTGCTACAGTAGTGTTCAATGAAGGGTAAACTAAATCATAGTGCTACAGTAGTGTTCACTGAAGAGTAAAGTAAACGATGGTGCTACAGTAGTGTTCACTGAAGGGTAAACTAAATCATAGTGCTACAGTAGTGTTCATTGAAGAGTAAACTAAATCATGGTGCTACAGTAGTGTTCACTGAAAGGTAAAGTAAACCATGGTGCTACTGAAGGGTACAGTAAGCCATGGTAATAGTTCTCTTCTCACTGACTCTTGATTTCTTAAATTTAAAATCAATTGTGACAATACATATCACTAAAGCCATGTGCTCAACCATACCATTTATTTTTTTAAACAACCTGGTGGACTTGGAGATGTATTCAAGTTACTCTGATCCCGAGTGCCAAATTTATTGATAAATTTGCCCTATTTTCAAGCAAGACTGGTCTAGTATACAATGAATAAAAATTATATGTATGTATGTATGTATGTATGTATGTATGTATGTATGTATGTATGTATGTATGTATGTATGTATGTATGTATGCTGTCTGTCTGTCTGTCTGTCTGTCTGTCTGTCTGTCTTTCTGTCTGTCTGTCTGTCTGTCTGTCTGTCTGTCTGTCTGTCTGTCTGTCTGTCTGTTTGTTTGTTTGTTTGTTTGTTTATTTATTTATTTATTTATTTATTTATATATATACTGTAGGTGTCATATGTCTTACATTTAAATGGATATAAGTAAAAGACAGATGGAAAGAAGAGACCGGTAAGGACATTAAATACTCAAGATGTGCAAGAAAGTATGTAGAGAATGGCGATGAGATTCGAACTTGCATAATGGGGAAGTGACGAGAATTGATAAGCATTACGAATGGGGTTAAAAAAAAGGAGGGAGAATGTATTGGATTTCATTGCAACACTGACGAAAGAAGTAGTGGTAGAAAATATGAAATGAAAATACGGATTGTGTAAAAAGGAAGGGAGAAATGGGGGAAGTGATGTTACTAATGACTGACATCATGGGCCTCTAAAGCAGTGAAAAAGAGGTGTGGTAAAAGGAAGTACAAGCAACAGCTAGACCGATGGGTAAAACGGACTGAATGTGCCAGCGCCCTGAAGAATTTTTGCCTTGTGACTCAACAGCCTCTCTATTCAAAATTATAGTGTTAGGATCTGTGTACAATAAGGATTTGCTAATTCAAATGTGGTATTAAACACCTTACTTTTCTCTTATTCCGTTTAATAATTGCCAATATTATTGATTAAAGTCCTGTATTCTGAAATATTTATGTGTTCGCACATCATTCATGTTATTCTCCTCAGAATGGCTATTTACAGACATAAAGGATCTTCCTTTGAGCCTAAATATACAGTAATTCAGAACTGAATCTATTTTTCTAAAAATTACCTTCACTTCAAAGATCCCATCTGTTGTTGTATCACCGATCCTCGCCTGGAAGCGAAACTCGTCCCTGAAACTTGGATCTCCTTTATTAACATATTTTAAGTTTCCACTTTGGAGATCGGCCTCTGAGAACTGATGCTTGGCGCCATCCTGGCCCTGCATCACCAAGTGGCCATAGCGAGGTGGACTGGCAACATGGAAGATGATAGCTGTTCCCCAGGCATTCATGTTGGTCTCCACGCTAAGATTATAGCTGGATATGATGGCTTCCTGGCCTCGAGGGACAATTATGCCACTGTTATTAACAATTTCAATGAAGGGTTCAGAGGCAACAATTTCCAGAATACTCGTGGAGGATAAATGTCCATCTGTGACGGAAATTACAGCTTTACTGTAAGATGGACCATTGTGACGAAACACAATTCGTCTTTGGTCAATATCTTCTTGCGTAAATAAGTACACAGGTTCAGATCTGTCCTCCACATGAAAGAAGTCTCCATTTGAAATTTTTCGCCTTGTGTACTGGATTTGTGTTGGTGGAGTATCGATGTCTGGGTCAATATATAACAGATCATTGGAAGTTACTACTCTTTCACTTTGAGTAACGACATTAAGTACCTTCTCCATAACCCTGACAGGATGGTTATCATTAATCATGTTAATCCGGAAGTGCATAGTACCTACGTACTGGAAGTCAACTTCTGGATCTTCAGCCAAAGCTACAAATTGGAAACGATCGTTTGTTGTTTCTGAATCATCATGTTGGTAAAATAATGATCCAGATTTTATTTCCTGGGAGGTAAAAAATGTCGTGTTTATTCTGTCTGGGAGAATCATTGACTCATCGATTACGTTAAGTGAGCCATGCTTGGGGGACATTGTAACATTAAAAACAATATCTTTGATTTCTCGAACATCTATGTTCAAATACTTTTCAGTAATTTTTTCTTTAGAACCTTCCTGGACATCTAAACGTTCCACTACGAGATTGGCATCAACTGGAGGTGGTGTGTGTCTTATACTGAAAGAGTGAACACTGCTGGAGTGGCCGTTACTGGAAACTTGAAATTGAAAGGAGTCCTGGAGATTTGAATAGCTCTTACGATGAAGCTTGTACTTAATTCTACCTTTGGATATATCTTCCTGGCTGAAAGTGGAACCTTTCTCCAACTGTTTATGCTGCGTTAAGTCTCCTGAACTTAAGAAGATAGAACCATACAATGGAGGCGTTTTTATCTTATACATTATATTTTTGCTAGGGGTTGGGTCTGGCCTGGTCTCACTTTGTAGAAAACCTTCAGATATGAAACTTTCCTGGATTCTATCTATAAGCAATTCTGCATTCCTGATGACATCAACTGTGACAGATACAAAAGAAATCCCAAATGTATACTCCGTCGTAAATTTATGCTGACCAGTATATATCTTAAATCTAAACTCATCTTCTTTTGGTTCTTTGGAAATGTGTTTGTAGCGGATCTTGTCCTTCTCCAGGTGTCGACTGCTAAACTGGTTCACATTCTGCCAGCGGTCATTGCTGCGTAATCTTTGGATGGCACCATAACGAGGCAAACCCGTGATGTCGAACTGGATTTCAAGGTCCTGTTCTGGAGCATTTGTGGTATAAGAAAGATTCATGGTTGTTATCAGTGCCCAGCTGCCATGTGTAATACTCAGCCCTGTGTTGTTGACCAAGTACACCTGCAAATCAAAGGCAGCAACTCTCAGGATGGTCGGCTCTCCAGTTTCAATGCTGTCCGATACCTTAAGGGCAATCTTGGTGTTGGGTTCACCATGATGAACATATGAAATGACACCTCTGTCGAGTTGGTCCTGGGTGAAAGAGTGGATGGGTACACCAGGAGACTGAGAGTTCTGGATGTAACCATTCTCACGATCCTTCAGGTTAAGCACAGTTATTCTGAAAAAGAGTAAATACATATACTGTGTCTGTATATGTTAAAATAGACATATGACTTGCATTTTAATTCCAGCAAGAATCAGATCTGTGTTCTAAAGTCTATTCAGCAGTTAAGCCTATATATATATATATATATATATATATATATATATATATATATATATATATATATATATATATATATATATATATATATATATATATATATATATATATATATATATACACAATGTTTCTTTAATATTTAAATGTCTAAATGTTCCTTTTTATGTGGTATATGATCTATTTTTATTCTCTATATAACTTGGACTATGCATGCACAACTTCACATAATAATAATAATAATAATAATAATAATAATGATAATAATAATAATAATCTCACCTTTTTCAGCCAACACCGGTTATTAAACAGGTGTTTGTCCCATTATTGGCTTAAAATTCTGCCACATTTTCTTTCAACTGTTGTGCTTCTGCCTGGTCGGGTGCTTTTCCTTGTGTGTTACAGTAACTTTAAAGTTCTGTGTCCGACTGACTTTTGCTCTGTATGGTGATCATTCTCATGGATATACCCAATCATAAGATCTTGACGCATATATTGTAGCTTTTTTTTTCAAATAATTATAACCACTGTATAGTATCTTATAGTTTCAACATAAAGTTCTTTTGTTATGATTTCATTTCTAAGCCAATCCTTTCACTTCTGTTTTCACCTTCGAGTTAATGGCCCTTGTTTTTATTTTCAAGTTACTTTAAGTCTTAGAATACTTATATACACTATTATCTTAGGTATCCTGACTATATTTTTGACTATCATAAATGGATGTCAACGCATGATATTCCCAGTAAACCTTTCGCTACTTTTTTCCAAAATTGCAGCGTTGGGACAAAAATGTAACTACAATATCGTGTTTCCATGCTAACCTGGCCCGTAAGCCACGCCGCTCGTCTATAGCTACAAATAGCTGATTGGTTCCCCTGAGCGTTTTACCTCCACCTAGGCTGTGTGTATATAAGCGCGTATTTATATCAACCTTTTATAATAAATATAAAAAATTTCTAACATCTTCCCTGAAGTGCTAATGCCTTGAAATGATTAGCATTTTGACAGTACAGATATTTAACATTGTTTGAATAATAACAATTGGGAACACATTGCGTTTGAATTTTCTATGAACCAATCAGCTATTAGTATACAGTAGAAGAGGGGCGTGGCTTACGGGCCAGGTTAGCATGGAAAGATTATAGTGTTGCTATATATATAGTAAGTCAACACTCTCCACCATATAAGAGGCGCCCAGTGCGACAAGGTACCAAGCGCCATCCCCCACAAAAAAAAAAAAAAATAGTTATAGCATTATCTGTACTCTCCAACCTTTCCACCTATCTGCAGAAACACAAACTGTCCCGGTAGCGCAATATTTGTAAGGCTGAGAGCCATATTAGTGAAGGTAGGCAAAAGGAAAAGGGGACAAGCGCCCGCGTCACCCAATCGTAGTCTCTCTCGCTCATCGCGACTCATTATTTTCCGGTTTCTTAGCTAATGGGAGTCCATGTTTCTACAAAAATGTCATAGGAATGTTATGTAATAACACTTGAACCTTTTTTTTTCAACTGGCATAAAGGAGGGAGCAAGGGCCATTGAGAGAAAATAAATAAAACAGAGAGAAGGGAGGGCGAGGAGAGTGAGGGCTGGTGGCACGTGTTATCACACCAGAGGGGGGAGGAGGCGGCTGGGAACGAGGGTGGGTGGTAATATTGGTAATACAAGTTATTGTTTACTGTAATTTTTCTAATAATAACAAAGACTTAAGTACCCTGTCCCGCATTTTTTTTATTATACTTTTTGGCACTTGGCTCCCAGGTCGAAATATTGGTAATACCTGGTTATTGTTTGCTTTTAAGCAAAAGTACAATAACCTTTGACTGCAATTCTTACTACAAACAATCTTTTAAATTAATATGACTTAAGTATTTGCAAAACCAGCTTTAAGAGCCACTTGAATGAACTCAATATCTTCATAGGTTCAAAATTACGTCAATTTGAATTTTTCCAAACTTTAAGAGCGTTTTTTCTCTATTGTGATTTTTAGCGCTTGGTACCTTGTCGAAGAGAGCTTTGCGCTGTCATATAAATGAGAGGAAAAGCTAATTATTTTGTGAACTTACTGCATAGCGTCGACTCTGAGGAGTTGGGCGATATGTCCCAACACAATCAACGATGTACGGTCAACAAGAAATAATATTCTGCACCTTTACGGTTGTACATTATGACACACCGGACCAAGAATTCTAAACAACACTCATGAGTTATGGCGTATGTTGGTAGTAATGCCTCATAGAGTTGCCAGTCACTCTTTATCTTGTGTTCACTATAAGCTGTTTAATTAAGTGTGTCTGTGTCCATAAAGTGTGATGATTGATGTGCATTTCCATATCGACTAACATAGCTATGACTGGAATACTGCAGGTATATATGACTTTGACTCCTGTTGTTTGCTCTGACGCAGATTGAAGCTGGTCCGTTTAAACTTTAAACCATATTCGTTACATTTAAGGTAGCACACCTCGTCTGGTGAAATTCAATTCAAGAACAGTTATGGGGTGTACGACGCCATTTACGATGGCCTTCTTGCCCTGATCTTTTTTCAGCAATATCGCCTTTAACACATGGAACTCTGCACTATACATTTACAGTATTCATAAGTGGTACTTTGATTTCAAACTTTTAAGTTTGGGCGTTCTATCATCTTCACCACCTTCAAGGATCTCCCACAATTTCGATCTTTGGCACACTATCTCATGGCTTCTCTAGGTCAACAAATATCACGTACTTTGTTCCATTCTCAGCTTTTCTCACAAACTGGCACTCTCCTATGTTCTCCTTTACCCATGATCACAGTTTTCTTTCGAGTATTCATTCATAAAATTTACTTACATGTACAAACCAATGAAATTTCCTCTGTGATTTGCAAACTCGATCTTATACAAATTTAATATATTGCGTATATTGCAAGGTCTTCCCCATGCACCAGGAACATGACCAGTATCCCAGGCTAAAATCAACAAGCGCCATAACCACTTGTCATGCCATCTTCTGAGCTTTTAATAACGATTTCAGCTGGAATATAGTCATCACCCGGAACTTTTCCGTTCTTCATTTTGTTTGAGGCATCTTGAAATCAGGGGAACTCATTTACGACATTGGGATCTATTCTACATACTTAAAAATATTATATGAAATTATATCCAGTCTGTAGGTACAGGGAGTAAATATTCAAAGCATTTTTTTCTGTTTCGCCTTTATCTTCCAAAGTTCATTCAGTCAGTCAATCAGTCACCCTGCTCTACCTTGGTTTTTATTGCATACGTGAGTGGTGTTAATTTTTGACTACATAAATAGCTGTTGAGTAAATTAACTTCCATATTTCCATTAAAACTGTTTTCAGAAACTGTCCAATTTTCCTCCATAATTTTACCTTCACTTTTTTTTTTCACTCTGAGCTTCTTTCCATTCGTATCTCTTCATAATGTATTTTCTCCTCCAATTTTCTTGTTTTCACCCTCTTCTTAAACAATCCCATCTTGACTCACCCTCTACAACTTTCAGTGTCCACTGCGATACACTCTTGTAGGGACTCCTCACCTTTATACAGTCTGTAGAACATGGAGGCTACAGTACTCCTTCACGTGTTGATGGCAGCTTGAAGAGTTTACGTTTCTTCCTATACTTGTTCTCTATATAAAGTATTGTCGCTACCTTCTCTGCTTGCCTGTTCAGATTTTACAGAGTCATTGTTCATAACGTCTTGAAAATGAGACAAGTAATGAGCTGCATATCCAACACTCATGAAAGCAGCTTTCACACTTGTAACATCTCTTTAAGACAGCATACACCTCGTTAGGTCCACTCACCTTGAATACAGTTCTAATTTTATTAGTAATGTACTCAATGGTATATAGTTTAGATTTGGTGTCTCTGCTTTTACAAAAACACTTTCCATATATTTGAGATAATGTAGTTTAGAGTATTTTCCTCATCCGAAGCACAGCAACATAGTTAGAATACTTAGTAACTTCATTCACTTTGTCCTAAACACAATAAATATTCTGCCTCCAACAATAGGGATTTGCGATCATTAGATATACTGTACTGTCAACTCGATCATCACAATGGTACTGGAGGAAGAAATCCATTTACGCCTATACTGTATTAAATTGCCACGAAATAAAAATTCCCCCATTGAAAAGGTTCCACAAAAGCTTAGTTAGGGAAGTCCTAAGAGAAGCTTGTTTTTTTTTAGTGAATATTAATTGTCCTATGTTAAAACAATATCCTAAAAATTCCTAAACATTCCCATCTTAAAATTCCCAATATTTCCAGAAAGTTACCACACCCTTGCAACTTAAGAACCTTATTAGGGGTATTATGTAAATCTGAGTTGTCTGGCTAAACTTCAGCAACTTTTCTATATCACAAATTGTTGGATGATTCTTGGTACTGTCTTCAACTTACCTTTAACTTATTAAAAGTTTCCACGAACTCCTTACATTCACAGGACTTCCAGAAAGTGTACACAACCTACTTCAAATCTAGATATAAAAAGTTCGCGAACCTTATAAACTCATCGGACTTGTAAGGGTAATAAGGATTTACAAGAACTTGCTAGGAAGACCCACACTGAACCTAGTATACTGTATGTAATTAGCTCTTCGCCTCACCTGAGTTTGTTAGAGGGACTGTCACTGTCGATAATATTGATGATATCAGGTGTAAGAGTCTTGGTGGTACCGGCAGCCAGTCTGATTACCTTTCCTGGGGGCAGCTGCAGTGAAGGTGGGTCGTTTTGGGCAATGACTCGCACAGGTAATACGAAACGGTGACGTGACTGTTATGAAAAGAAGAAAGAGAAGGACGTTTACTGAATGATGAAGGAATTGTGACTATAAAATGAAAAACGCACAGATAATAAAATAGAGGGCAAATACAATATACAGTAAAACACACACTACTACTACTACTTTGCTGTCACTCGGAATCGAGTATGACGATCATCCAGCTATGGTAACATGATATGGGTGATTAGGGATGTCACCTAGGTTAGTGAGTTGCACATGTGAAGGGCTCCATCTACTGTGGGATGGCGGTGGCAGCGTCTTTCCGACGTTGGCGCTTATCTGCCTCGGTTTGCAGTCGGGCTAACTCGAAAGTATTGACACCTTCCCGTGTGCTGCTCCTCCAAGCGTTACGATGTGGAGTAATCGACTCCCAGGTGAGGGAGTCGATTTGGCACCTTTCCAGGTTTGTCTTAAGACTATCCTTATACCTTTTCAATTGCCCGCCAGCGTTACGTTTACTATTCGTTAGGTGACTGTAAAGTAGCTGCTTTGGCAGTCTACTGTCGTCCATGCGGGTAACATGGCCAGTCCAGCGTAGTTGTTCATGTATAATGGTAGCCTCGATGCTCCTACAGTTGGTGTCAGCAAGGATGCTGGCATTTGTTCTCTTGTCTTCCCAGCGAACCCGGAGGATGGAACGTAGGTAGTCTACGTGCCTTGAGGTGCCTCCTGTATGTAACCCATGTCTCGCTGCTATAGAGCAGGGTGGGGAGGGCCACTGCTCGATATACGTGTAACTTTGTAGACACGGTTTCGGAGTCTGCCAAAGGCTTGAGATGCACATCTGATCTGATGCTGAATCTCTTCATCGATGTCCGCGGTAGTGGACAGGTGGGAACCGAGATACTGAAAGTGGGTAATATTGGAGAGGGTAGTACCGTTGATGGATGGACGGTGGAGGTGTGTCTGAACCAGGGGCAGGTTGAAAGAGGATCTGAGTCTTACGTACATTCACCTCAAGGCCGAAGTGTGCATACGCTTCTGCGTAGGTGTTCAGGATCTCCTGTGAGCAACAAGAGTGAGGTCGCCTGCATACTGAAGTTCAGTAATGGGAGCTGCCGACACCTTTGTTCTTGCCTGGAGTCGTCTTATGTTGAAAACACCCCCCTTCACCCGGTACTCGATGTCCACCCCGCCGACTAAATTGGCACTGGCACGAATAAGGAAGGCAGCCAAGAAAATGGAAAAGAGAGTTGGTGCCAGTACACACCCTTGTTTAAACCCCGGTTGGATGGGGATGAACTCGGACTGGGTGCCATAGTGCAGGACACTCCCGTTCATGCTATCGTGGAGTTGCCTCACAATGGCGATGAATTTTTTTTTTTTGGGGGCAGCCAAAACGGCTGTGGGTCCACCAGAGGGCTTCCCTGTTTACCGAGTCGAAGGCCTTGGTTAGGTCAATGAAAGCCATGTACAGGTCACGACGTTGTTCCCGGCACTTTTTCTGTATCTGTCGGGCAGCAAATATCATGTCATTGGTGCCACGTGATGGTGTAAAATTACATTGAGATTGTGGCAAAAATCTTGCCAGCTATGGACAGCAGCTAGATCCCGCTGTAGTTGTCACAGTCTGGCCGGTCTCCCTTATTCTTATAAATATTGATGATTTCCTCCTTTTCCCATATATTCTCCAGGAGAGAGTGGAGATGGCTGGTAAGCAGAGGTCCTCCTGCTTTATACACCTCGGCTGGGATTCCATCACGCCCTGAGGCTTTGTTATTTTTCATCTGATTGATGGCAGTAGCTACCTCATCCAGGGATGAAGGATAGCTGAGGTGGGTCAACTCTGGATGCTGAGGGACCTGCTGGGTAGTCAGGACATTCACATCAGTGTTTCGGTTGAGCAGTGAATGGTAGTGCTCTTTCCAGCACTGAAGGAGGCCTTCATCATCTTTAATTATGGAGTTACCATAGGATGAGGAGAGGGGAGCTGCACCACGAGTGATTGGCCCATAAAAAGTTTTGATGGCATTGAAAAATTCGTGCATCTTGTGCTGATCTGCAATTTTTGTGCTTCACATGCTTTATTTTTAAACCAGTCATTCTTTAGATTACGGAGTTCCCCCTGGGCTACAGGCCTCTTCTTGAGGAAGGTATCAGCTTTGGTCCGAGACAGAGGGTTGTTCTGCCAGTAAATTGGTTGCCGGGTCATTTTCATCAAACCAGTCCTGGTGTATTCTTTCGATCTGACTGAGGGTCTCTCTGCAGGTTTTTGTTATGACAGTGATGAGAATATCCCATTCGGTACTGGGATTTTGGTTGTCCATTGTCGGATTATTTATCAGCCCATGTTCGAGCTGCTTTCTGAAAGCATGTGCTACTGCTGGATCCTCCAGGCGCTTAGTTAAAACCACTTCTAGAGACTTGTTTCCTTCACCGTTTTGGGGCGACGTGAAGTGTGAGCTTAGCCCCTGACGAGCCGATTATCAGTGTCACAGTGGTCTGAGCCACCCATGGCATGCGTGATGAGGACATCTCTGCAATCTATTTTTCTGACAAGATGTAGTCAATGAGATGCCAGTGTTTGGATCGTGGGTGTTTCCACGATCCCTTGAACCTGTCAGCCTGCCTCAACAGTGAGGTTGTATGCAGCACACTTGCTGAGGAGGAGTAGGCCATTGGGATTACACTTGCCTAGTCCATTTCTACTTATGGTTCCCTGCCAAATGTCAGCATCTCTACCAACTCTGACATTGAAGTCACCAAGGAGCACAACCTTATCTTCTCTAGGGATAGAGGTTAACACTGTCTAGGTCGGCGTTATAGGCCTCCTTGATGTCATCTGCATCCAGTGTTGGGGCGTATGCACTGGTGAAGAAGGCAAGACGTGAGTGATTCAGTGGGACTCGAAGCGCTGTACTTCAGCAGCTGTACAGTTATGTACCCAAGGGACCGAACCAACAAACCTGAGGAGTAAAGGCGAGCACTGCATCCACTTGACTACCGTAAACCCATTTTACTAACCTCCAATAAAATCATAAATTCCTAATTCTGATCTAAAGAATTTCTTTCAGATAAATCGACATATCAATAAAATTGGCGAATTTAAAGCAAACTGACTGACTGGAACTAAATGGAACTGACTGGTAAAATATGCATCTTTTGGTATATGACCTCTTGCTGTACACATACACCATCCGTCCTCTCAAGTCCCTTGGAATTCCTGTGATGAGCTCATGAATGTTTACACAACATTCAAACTTCCTAAACTTGCCTATGCTTCCCCTGCCTAGATTTCTTTTTTTAACTCCTACACAACGATAACTCGTAGCAAGTGTAGGAGAGAGCGTACACGACTATTGTTTCCCTCTCTAACAGCACATATCAAGAGGTGCTCAGTACACTCGCCCTCTCAACTCTCCCTGATCATCATCGTGATCTCCTCTCTCAGTTTAGGAAAACAGCTTCTTCTATACCATCCTCGTCACCGCCACCAGCGAAGTTGTTCGGCACCAAAAACCGCATCCAGCCCAGACGACAACATAATGATCGATATTAGAACAGCAAAATTTTAATTGTTGTAAAATGTTTAACACCTCGTAGATAACTTGCGTGTTCACTCCTTGCCGATCTCCGTTTTGTACTGTAACCCTCTCCCCATGGGGATTATATGCTATGAACAGATAATGAGTGTCAGTCTTCAAAAGCTGTGACTCACCAGTAACGCATGGTGTTGAGGAAATATTTTTCCTCCTCTGAAATATGACATCAATAGGAAACAGCATCAACTGTGCAGCAACAGTTTCATCTACCCTTCCGGTTTTGTGTCAGTCAGTGTTGAGTTAAATCAACACTGCGAGGCTGGCAAACGTTCCAGGGTTCTGGTGACTATTCCCTCAGCTGAGATAGTAGTGAAGCAGCTCACAATGAAGGCCACTTAACAAGCTGGTCATGTCTGGAGTCTGCCATTCAGGGTTGAACCAGAGCCAGGAGTCTCCGTGGTTGTGGACAGGACAGGCACGAGTATGACAGTCTGGCCATACCTACTGCCACACAATAACACAATAAGACTCCGCACTCTGGACACTGGTGCGACATCGACCCAGCACTGATTACATAAACAGTTCCAATAGCACTTTATTATATTGTTTGCAAAAATGAGCTTTCGTTGTTTTGAGAAGGCAAGCAAATTTTTCACCGCCTTTAATCTTTACTGACACACCGTTGATCATGTGTGTATTTATCCACTGTAATTAACATACATCTAATAGCATTTTATATTCTAATTAAAGTAACAAAATCGCAATATTTTCTCTGCAGAAACTGTAGAACACAACAAGAATGTTGAAACACTGATTTATTTTATCGCCGTAGAAAGTTACTTTGCTTTTATAAGAGTCTGAAATGTTAGCGTTGGATGTAATAAAGTGTTGAATATAGAATGCCACACACAATTAATTTCCATTAAATTGTAGCCTTAAAACAAAAAGTTATCCTTATTTGGCAAAAACGGCAGTTGCATTTTAACCACTTGTGTACGCGGTCTCCTCTTTGATGAATACAATCGTCTGGTGTTACCAAATAAAATATTTAAAGTGGTGTCACCCGTAGTGAAGGGGTTAGTGGAGGTAATCTACTAAAGCTTAATCGGGAATTATCCTATATAACATGACATCTATCTACCTATAATTATAAATGGACACGTCTATCTGTCTGTTCCAGCCATATCTCTAAAAAGAAATCACCTGGAGCTGAAAGTTTCAACACATATATTTCCTGGGTCAGAAGGTTGTGCACCTTGGTCTTGACCACGAACCCCCGGGTGGTCCGGGCAGGAACCAAAAATTTATCCCGACTGAGATGTCGCCACGGCGATTGTAGGTGTTTTACCCGTATCAGGGAGACAGTATATAATTATCTAACCCGAGTGAAGCCAGGGAATTTTGTTGCATATATATAAATATATATATATATATATATATATATATATATATATATATATATATATATATATATATATATATATACACACACACACACACAATAAACATCAAGGCATGTCTGGTGGGTATAGGACTCACAGACTCACCCAGAGGAAGGACTCACCTGAAGGTAAGAGGGAAGGATGTACCCAGTGCGGGTCACCAACTCCAGTTCGAGGACAATAGAGTCCTCGGTGGTCTCGGAGCCATCATGAATATAAGTCACCCGGTCGTTGTTCAGATCAAGCAGGGTGAAGATAGTGTCCTCAGGTCGCCTCCAGATGTGCACATCGAGGCGACCACGTGAGGGACGAGTGATCACGTGGAACAACACACCAGACTCCCGCACACCATACTGAGGAGTGGAAAAGAGAACCAGAGTGAGACGTGGACTGACATACAGAACAGAGAGGAAGAGTTACGCGCATACTGGGGGAAGGGGAGAAGGGAGGTGTACTGAGAGCAAGATGAGATGCGTCCAAGTATTAATATTTTTGTAACGCTTACCTTATCATCAAACTATTATAACATATTTAGTCACGTAGATAGAAATTACCATTGTAGTAATTATATATTTGCCGAAAAGCCATTTTCCTTGTTTCACCCTAACACAACCCATGTTGTATCGCTTCCACTCACCTATCAAATAACTGCATATCAACTCTACTGTAAAATATGTATATATTTATAATATAAATGTAAACAAAAAATCCATATGATACTAAATGTTATATATTAATTCCTTAAGATAAATGTAAAGTATACAGTATATCAGGTGCCACTAAGAGAGCTCAGGCTCTCAACTGGCTCAGCCATATCACTATTGTTAGTATTATCCGCTCTGTATCTGTGTTTTTATGGCTAAATAAACTGTTTCAATATCAATATAAAGAGATGTGTACTAGGGGGGGGGGATAAGAACAGACAGAAAAACAACAAACGTATTTACAGTTTTGTAAGGAGAGAGAGAAAAAAAATATGTTTCATTAGGCAAGAGATGAGAGAGAAGAACAACTTAGTAAGATGGTTCACCTGAGACTAGTAGATGATACAATATTTAAAGATTTACAAATAAAACCTTAGGCCTGTAATTTTCGTTAATACTTCTTGCTACTTCCTATCTATTCTTAACTCAGTTTATGCGTTAAAAGTATCTCTATAATAACTCCACAAGAAATACAAACTACTGCCTGATGTGCACGACATGATGGGTAACACGTGCCAAAATTAGTAAGAAAATTGATGTAATTCATTATTGTTTATGAGTATGAACCTGTGTGTCAGAGAAAGGTTGATTATAACAAGAAATAATACAGTCATCACATTTATTGCCACCATAACTGATAGCCAGAAACGTAATTATATACTATCATCATATTATCTCATATTAAATTTAATTCATATGACGTGCAATTATCAGACCAATAACCGTTTATATATGTCTTCCTTAACAGCCCAGGAGAAATAGCAGATGTAATGATATAAAGGACGTACAGGTGAGACAATACTAAAGTGCTCTTTATTTAAATCCTGGAAATGTGAGTCATTATACAGCAGGATCGTGGGGGTCTTTGTTAAGAAGCATACTGTATCCCAATCTTGTTTATACATTGCCATTGTTTTGGGATTTACTGTACGTGGCAATAAAGATCAGGTTTATATCTCAGGGAAGAGAACGGTTAGGGGCCTGCGGCTGTCGTTGGATGTCATCGTTAGTAATTTAATCTCCATTGATTCCTCATCAGGGTCCAGTTACACTGCTGAGGTTGATATGTTAGCACAGACGCCTCTAGTCTCCACGCCTCATGAGTCAGCCCATCCCGTTCATGCGCCATGTCCGGCCGAGTGTTGCTTCCAGTCTTACAATGGCACCTGATTATTTCATGTTTTTTAAATACTGGTCGAAGGTCTGTTAGCATAAGCATAATTTTTCATAGTTATCTTTCCAAAGCCACTGCTCAGAGAAAACATGAGAAGCATCTCCTTGAATTGTTGTATTTGCTGATAAACACCGAGGTTGTGGTATTTAGTTAGAGTTACAGGACTGTTGGAGGTAGAGTGCACTGCTGCGGATAGTCTATGTTCAGTGATCCCTTCTGCAACTTGTTCTCCGTAATACAGACTAGAGACCATTTTCTCCTGCCTTAATTATTTTTCTTCTTTGATGAATCACTTCTCATAAACACCGAATGTTGTTCCAAGAAAAAAAAATATTTTTCATTTGAGCCAGAGCCACATGTTTCCCAATACCAAATACTTTCTATGTTGTGTCGCAGCCAAGGACGACGTTGGTGAACAAAATATCACATACAAAATCACCGAACAAAGAAAGATCTAGTTGTTGTGATGTTCTAGGACCCTGGAGCTGCTTGAGATTGTTTTTCTCTTTGGTTCAAACTAAAAGAAAACACTGCAACTGATTTCGTTTGCATGATAACACAGAATAACAAGGATATTTGTTTCATCATCAATGAGGACAGTGTTAATCCTGACAGTAAATACTGTTGCTGTCTGAACCACGAGTAGCTTTGCATATCCATTTCCATGGTGCACGTCACACCCAATGTGTTTCAACCTCTGCCATTCTTTTGGTACTCGTGTCATGTAAAGCCTATACTGACTGGCCATACGTTTTATCCTTTTTATGCCCATTCTTAACATTTCATCCACATCTGGTAATATTCTTCTTCGATCTCTCCCACGTCACCCTTATTTACATGTATCAGTTGCTCTCCCTCATCATTCCAATAAATCTTTATATCGCTTGCGCTTCTTTCATCTGAATCACATAAAGATTACCCCCTTGGTAATTTCGCCTGAAAATTAACCACTATAATGCTAACTTAATCGAACCTAACTTAACCTAACCTACCATACTTTAAATTACCCGAACCAAACTTAACCTAACCTAACTTACCATACCCTAACCTAACCTAACCTACTATACCCTAACTTAACCTAACCTAACCAAACCCCCAGAGATAGCGTTAGAGGGGGGGGGGGGGTTACCCTTCAGGTGAAATAAACTAGGAGATACTCTTTATTCATCATCTCTTATAGTCGTCGAAATTCATCGAGTTTTTTTTAAACCTGAATTTTTCATTTACTGTCATATTTGCTTCTATTAATGATGGTCAGACATTCCACGAACAGTTTCTCTTACCTTCACTCTCCTCTCCACCAACACAAAGCCTAACATTTCTCTATCTTCTATATTGCACCATTCCAAGTACATTCTTTATTTTGTTTCTTGTTAAAACAATTATTACCAACTATCAATCCTCTTTCATCATACATGTCTATTAGTCCGTCTATTGCGATTCTCACCTGGCACTCCATGGTTACCTGTAATTAACCTTTCACTCGCGTGTTTATTCCGCACACGATTATCACATTATCTTTCACACTGATTACTTCAATGTAGTTGTTCTGGTCTCTTTCCCCTTGTCTTTTCACAGCCCCTGAAACATTAACACTAACAATAACCAATAATTCATACCCAAGTTTTAGTCTAATCCATTATAATCTGAGACTGACGCCTTCATATTCCATCACGTTACTTCACATTTCATCCTTCAACATCGTTACTACACCTTCTGTTCTTACTTTTTTCAAACTCTCTTTACTCCATGGCCATCACTGGTCCTCACCATCCATCTCCTGTACCAATAATCTTTTCAGTCACCATAACTTCCATAACTTTTATTTCCGTCCTCATTACATCCATACACATTCAAACGCTCCAATTTCCTTTGATTTTCCTACTATTTGATACCTTACAAGAAGTCGAGTTACTAGCCTGACAGTGGGTACAAGTATATGACAAATATTGGGTACATATAATATAGTGCACGTATAGTACAACTAGAGAGTGTACATGCTACGTCGTGGTTGTATCTGGTATACGAAGGAGGTTAATGACATACGGAGGATGTACAGTATACTATATCACAAATACTAAATGTACAGGAGAAGTACGAACAGTATAAATCAAAACAGTAATCAGTCAAAATAAGTAACAAGCAATGACAGACAAACAATGGCAATGTCTGACAGGCAGAGAAGTTACAACCTTTCGAAATATAGATATAAGTGATAAACTGTGTCGCTGCATGATTAGTTGCGCACAGGGAGAGCGCCCACCTTGAGATTGGTACTCACTTTCTCATAGTCTAGCACGAGACGTAGGTGGTCAGCGGTGACGAGCGCCTGTCCTCCCTCCTGTACTTCCATAGGCGTTAAACTCAGCACCTGGTCAAGGAAAAGTATAGGAAGAAGATTAAGGAATATTGAAGTTAGAGATCAAGGAATGCGTCAGAGGTAAGACAAGAACCATGAAGAAAACCAAGGAATTTGTAGTAAATATTGGAAGGAACATGTAGGATGAAAGTCAAGAAACACTACAGAAAGGTCAAGCAATAGTGCAGAGAGAAAGTTAATTATCAGTGCAGGAGGAAGTAAAATGAACAATGTATAATATAGGAGAGGAAGGAAAAAAAAAGGGTAGGAGGAAGGAAAAGGGACTGAGCAAACAGAAATAGAACTGCACAGAGGTAAATGCAATGAACAGTGTGTAACCATATACAGTACAGTAAACCGTCAAAAGTTGAAAAATATATTTCATGTATTTTGATATTTGTATGATATTTCTAAAAAAGAATCATAATATATATATATATATATATATATATATATATATATATATATATATATATATATATATATATATATATATATATATATATATATATGATATATATATATATATATATATATATATATATATATATATATATATATATATATATATATATATATATACTCAACGGAGCAGACACAGCTGGATTATCAGGTTACCAAAGCTTATACAGTAATAACAGTATATAATAGTGTGCCACAGGCTGACCTCAAGATCAAAGGGCAGTGTGGTCTTGGTGAAGACTTTGTAGGCGGTGGTGAAGTTCCCCTGACGGACACAGAGAGCTGGGTCGCACTTCAGCACTAGTTTTCATCCGCCCCTCCTGCAGGCAGCGGCTGCCGTCCACACAGGGGTTCTTGAGACATGGGTACGCCCAGTGGCACTCAGCCTTGATGCCCTGCGTTACTTGGGCGTCGCGAATACTCAGGCTCGTCTCCCCGACACTCACGTTCTGGATACACCCCTCAAGGCTGTTAAAGTGAGAGTCGGGCTCTGAGAGGACCAAGAATTACACTGACACACTACACTGTATGGGCGCATATTCTGGGGTGACACTTACATAGTAATGAGAAGGGGGAGAGAAGGTGTGTGCTGTGTCTTAACCGCATTGGCGGTAGTCGAGATAATGAAGGAAACAAGTAACCCTATGTTTTCAATGTTAACACTGACAGTGGGGAACTAGAATGATGAAATGTTACTTCATTTATAATTTAAGAATAAGTGTGCAGTATTTGCAGTCTAAGAGAAAGGTATTCTTCGACGAAAGTATTGTTGCTATAACTAATACAGATCCAACATTATTTATGTCTTACACTTTATAACAAACTGAAGTATACTATATGAATCAGCTGTTGTGCTCCACTATTAAGGGGAACATGAGTTTAGTTTGTAGTCTTTATACGGTATTGTGCCCATGATATTCTTTGGCCCAATAAAGAAATCTTGATACTATATTGACCGCAGATAATATGTAACGAGATCTAAAGTTAGTTTGAATAAAAGTAATCTATCCCAAAGTTAAAGTGATAAAATTATAATTTTGTATCTTCAGGGTTGAACTACATTAGTTTCTGTACGCAAGAACTTTGGTCGACATTAATATATTAAAAAATACACGTGTTAGTCTTTTTTTTCTCAACACAAACAGTGGAGAACCAATCTGTTCAACTTACCTTTTGTCACCATTTTTTGCCCCCTGATTGACCGCTCTGGCTTGTTTATTAACCTCGACCCCACCGATGAAGAGGTAACCCGAGAGGTCAAAAAACTTCTTCTCTCCGACATGGGTTGGTTGATCCTCTATGTGGTCGTCTACGTTCAGCTCCATGTAGGTGGGCTTGAAGTGCGCCTCCACCTTGTGCCAAACGCCATCGCTAATATTGATGGAGCTGGAGAATAGGAAGGGTGAAAAGCAGTGAATGAGTGGAAATGAAAAAAACAAGTGACGGAAAAAGAAAAAAGAAACAGAATGGAAGAATGATGGTGTATAAAGGGGTAGATGTGGGGTGTATAGGAACAGTGTGAAGAAAATAGAAGTGTGGGTTGAAGCTTGGAACAATGTGAACGAGAGTAAGTGTAAGGGGCCTGAAAAAATATGTTTCACTGCAAGGAGCCGATATCTGAGGTATGAGTGATGTTAACTATCAATCCTGTTACCAGTGCGCACAAAAGGTGGGTGACTAGAGTTAAGATAGATGTTGTAAACAGATGTTAAACGATGAACTTAACACTGATTTTGAGATAATAAGATAATGCTAAAAATAATAAACTAGAACACTTGTTTTTGAAGGTTGAAAAAGTTTCCTTAAATGTCCCTACAGTCTCAGCAAGCCTCTTCGCCCCGTCAACCTCTCCACCCTTTACATCCTTCCCTGTCGCCATCTTGCCATACACTTCACTCTCTCTGGCCCCTTCCTTTCTGTTAGCCCCAGACCCAGCCTTCGATTTAATGCTTATCTGTATCTTATAACACAGTGCTTCGTTACAAGCCCATGTGTGAACAAGGTATGAATTATTAGGCTACAACCCAATTCCCTCGTCTTCTCCAAACTTAAATTCCTTCCCTTAATGTTACTTCACAGTTTTCCAGTCGCTCTTTTCCCATATACTGTTCTGATATCACTCTAGGAACGTACAGTTTTCTAATATCATCGTTCCCAATTATTCAAGTTCGTTTACTTCATGTTTCATTTTTATCACCATTTCACATTCCAATTCGTTACACTTTTAGTTCTATTGAATACGGCTGTTCAAACTCCACTCTATCACACTCCTTCCACCGAAATTCCATTTTCATGCTCCATTTAACCTATACCTTTAATTTCCTTTTATCCCACACAATACCAAAATCATTCACTTCCCTTTGCTCTTCCTGTTCACACTCTGTAAAAGCACTACATCATTCGCAGAGGCTAGTTATTATTTTCCACATCCCAGTATCTAGTTCCAACTTTGCTCCTGCTCCAGCCACCTGTTTCCATTTCCCTCATCACTTAATCCATATACATATGTTAGACATCTATGAAGACATCACATATCCCTACCTCCTGTTATTCTCACCTCAAAGCCCTCACTTGGTGATCCATTTATCCTCACACATGACTTGCTCTTACACAGCCCTTTACCAATAATACCAAGTAGGTTCCTCCTCCTCTTCAAACCCTCTCGCCTCCTACACTGCCTCCAGATCCATCCTATATCATATCCTTTCTTCAGATACATAAATACAGGTTACAGTTTCTTGTTGCTTCACATTATATATAGCGCGAGCGTTTTTACCGAAGACATGTCAGCCTCACAATCAGTATACAATATTTTTCTCTTACACCAACAAGTATAAACTAATTAAAATGGTTCTTAGGTATAAGTATTGTTATGTAACATGTACATATTGTTCACGTGGATGTTGTATTATCTTACTGTAATGTCAGGGTTCGACTTCCTTCCATCTGCTGATGACACAGGCGTAATCACTAACCCAGATCACGCCACCTAACTAGGGCTTAGTGTCAGCACACATCACTTCCGATCATGGATTACTTAAACGACGGACTGATGGTGTGGATTGGAGATGAACGGCAGGTGGCGATTAGCATAGACGTCCTGGTTATAACCTCATAAAACCAATTCCCAGAAGAGAATCCTATCATTATACGCCAAGTGTTTGACTTCCCCTGTACACTTAACCAAGAAGCATATAGAATAAAGGAGGTAAAGACAAGGCAAGATAAGAGAACAGCATGTACAGAATCTACTAGATTGCTTGGGGTTACCAGACAGTTTACACCTCTTCAGTATACAACCAGTCATATTACTACATCACCCATGGTCCCAACATTAGTTTTAACAGATAAATGGAAATGTATACAAATGTTTCATGTTTTATAACCCTAACAAACGAACAGACAGTAAATACACACACAAGGGAACGACAAACACAAACAGCAAAAAAGTAAAGATAAATAAATCGTAGCAACACACTAGCACCGACCTGGGTCTAGCTCTCAATTTCTTTTGCTAAAAAGCCGGATGAGCAAAGTCAGTTTAGAAAACAAACGGACCGCACACACAAGGCCGAGTTGGTTACAAGTAACATTGCATGAAATATAAACCAAACTTAACCTAAGATGGTTCCCTTTTGTTAGGTCACTTAGATTACGTCGGATTTATTTAAGCCTGCTGAGTCATAAATGGCTATTTTATACCATAACGTTGCACATCCGGTTCTCTTGAATAATTAAACTGAGAGTCAGATCCAGGTCGGTACCCCCGCTTATCATATTTGCAAGTACTGTACCTGTTGAGGCCCACAGCTCCGTTGCCCTTATCGAGGATGAGCCTCAGGTGCCCCTCGTAGATCTCTAGTGCGATAAAATCTGATCTGTAGGTGATAGAGGACGACCACGGAGTCATTTAGCAGTGAGACATTCCTTCTGTCATGCAAATGAACAAATATTGTTGCCAAGGCTATCTTACGTTTTGTTACATAAATTCTTTAATATTTGTAAAATAGGAATATTTATACAACATGTAGCTCACAGACGTAATTCAGCGAGTGCAAGAATAAGAAAGTAACTGGGGAGTAATCATGGTGAGATGGGTGCTGGAGTAAGTTGGTCAATGAACTAAGATGGTGGCAAGTAATCTGGTCGCTGGGGAAAGGATGAAACTTTAGGGTGGGTACATATTACAAAGATCAGTTCAAAGTTGTAAACACAAGAGTGTGATGACTTTTCATTGGAATCTCGCCACAATCGACCATTATACAGGGAACTCAAAGGAGAAATGAAAGTGGAATTCCTGAGAAACGTGAATCGTCCTGTCTCAGTATCGTGTACATAAACATTAAGAGAAGATAGCACATCAAGGTGAGCTACAAGGGACCCTGTGCTTGGGATGAGAACCACACACTGGCGTCGGAAAATTCAATAATATTTTAGGAGTTGGTGGTTTGAATCTGCAAATCAAAACTGGGAGTGTGGCAGGTGGTGAATATGGCAGTTGGAGTATGTCAGGTGGGGAGTGTGGCAGGTGGGGAGTGTGGCAGGTGGGGAGTGTGGCAGGTGGGGAGTGTGGCAGGTGGGGAGTGTGGCAGGTGGGGAATATGGCAGTTGGAGTATGTCAGGTGGGGAGTGTGGCAGGTGGGGAGTGTGGCAGGTGGGGGAGGTGGGGCTGTAAACATGCTGAGTATGTCAGGTGGGGAGTGTGGCAGGTGGGGGAGGTGTGGCAGGTGGGGAGGTGGTAGGTGGGGAAAAGGGTGTGGCGCGGTGGTGGGGAGGTGGCAGGTGGGGAGTAAAAAGGTGGTGGGGAATATGGCAGCTGAGCATGTCAGGTAGGAGGTGACAGGTGGGGGAGGTATGCGGGGAGCGTGCGGTGGTGGGGAGGTGGCAGGTGGGGGAGTGTGGTCGGTGGGGAAACATGGCAGCTGGAGGCGCCCAGTGTGGAGGTGCAGGTGGGGGAGTGTGGCAGGTGGGGAGTGTGGTGGTAGGTGGGGGAGGTGGTGCGGGGGAGGTGGCAGTGACTCAGGCAGGAGGGCAGGTGGGAGGTGTGGCAGGTGAGTGGGGCCGGTAGGGAATATGGCGGCTTGGCGGCGCCAGGTGTGGGACTGTGGCAGGTGGGGAGTGTGGAAGTGGTGCGCGAGGTGGCAGGTGGGGGGAGCGGGCAGGTGGAATATGGGCAGCCAGAGGCATGTCAGTGGGGAGTGCGGCAGGTGGGGAGGTGTGGCAGGTGGGGGAGTGTGGTGGCAGGGAGTGTGGCAGGCAAGAGTGTGGCAGGTGGGGAGTGTGGCAGGTGGGGAGGTGTGGCAGGTGGGGGAATATGGCAGTTGGAGTATGTCAGGTAGGGAGGTGATTGCGGTGGGGAGTGTGCGTGGCGGGCAGCGTGGGGAGTGTGTGCTGGCAGGTGGGGAGTGTGGCTGGTGGGTAGAATATGGCAGTTGGAGTATGTCAGGTGGGGAGGTGGCAGGTGGGGAGTGTGAAGGCAAGTGGGGAATATGGCAGCTGGAGAGCATGTCAGGTGGGGAGGTGTGGTGGCAAGTGGGAGGTGGTTAGGGCGGTGTGATGGCCGGTGTGGTACAGGCAGGTGGAGCATGCCTGTGTGAGCGGGCAGGTGGGGGAGTGTGGCAGTGGTGGGGGAGGTGCACAGGGGGGAGGTGGGCAGGTGGGGGAGTGTGGCTGGTGTAACATGGCAGTTGGAGGCATGTCAGGTGGGGAGGTGGCAGGGGAGGTGGCAGGTGGGGAGCGCGTGTGTGAATATGCGCTGGAGGCCTGTGCGGGGAGTGGCAGGTGGGGAGGCAGTCGGGAGCGGGCGGTGGAGGGGAGGTGGCAGGCGTGTATGCAAGTATGAGGGGAGGTGGGCGGCGTGTGGCGGGCAGGGGGGAATATGGCAGTTGGTGTATGTCAGGTGGGGATGCAGTGCGGAGCGGCAGGTAGCCTGCGGCAGTAGGAGCGGTTGCCTGGGTGGGGAGGTGGCAGGTGGGGAGTGTGGGCGTGTGAACACATGGCAGCGAGTGGCGTCAGTGTGGAGCAAGGTGGTGGGGGAGTGTGGCAGGTGGGGGAGGCACGTGTATGTGGCAGTGTACTTATGGCAGTTGGAGCATGTCAGGTGGGGAAGTGGCAGGTGGGGAGCGTGCTATGGTGGGAAATATGGCAATTGGAGTATGTCAGGTGGGGAGCGGCAGGCGGTGGAGGTGGCAGGTGGGGAGGTGGCAAGTGGGGAGGTGGCAGGCGGCGTGGCAGGTGGGGAATATGGCGCCGGAGCATGTCAGTGGGGAGCGTGCAAGTGGGAGGTGGCAGGTGGGGAGTGGGGCACTGTAACATGGCAGTTGGAGTATGTCAGGTGGGGAGGGAAGTGGTGCGGGAAACACAGGTGGGGAGGCTGCCAGTGCGGAGAGTGCAAGTGTGGAGTGGCACGGGAGTGGAAGGTGGGAGGTGTATGGCGGTGGTGGGGAGCGTGGCAGGTGGTGGGGAGGGGAGCAGTTGGCGGCCGTGGGGAGTGTGGCAGGGGTGGCGTGGCAGGTGGGGAGGTGGCAGGTGGGGGAGTGTGTTAGGTGTGTGAATATGGCAGTTGATTATGTCAGTTGGGGAGCGTGGCAGGTGGGAGTGGCAGGTGGGGGAACGTAAGCAGGTGAGTGGCAAGTGGGGAGTGTGGCAGTTGAGCATGTCAGGTGGAGGAGTGTGGCAGGTGGGGAGGTGGCAAGTGGGGATTGTGTGGGGTCAGGTGAGGAGGTGGCTAGGAGGGGGGAGGTGGTCAGGAGGCAGGTGTGTGAACGTGTGTGAGCGTGGCAGGTGGGGGAATATGGCAGCTGGAGTATGTCAGGTGGGGGAGTGTCGCCAGTGGGGGGAATGTGGCGGCGTGGGGGAGGTGGCAGATGGGGAGGTGTGGCAGGTGGGGAGCTAGATAGGTGGGAGTGAGGCAGGTGTAAGTATTGCAGGAGGGGAGTGTGGCAGGTGGGGGAAGAGTGTGGGTGCTGGGAGCATGTCAGGTGGAGAGTGCAGCAGGTGGGGGAATGTGTGAATATGGCAGTTGGAATATGTCAGGTGGGGAGTGTCAGGTGGGGAGTGTGGCAGGTTGTGAGTGTGGCAGGTAGGAGTATTGCAGGAGGGGAGTGTGGCAGGTGGGGAGTGTGGCAGCAGTATGCATCGTGTATGCTACAAACTGTAAGAAGTTACCTGGGTGAGTCAGTCAGGAGCGTTGGTAATAATGCTGGATGAAACAGTTAGGAATAATAATTATAAAAAAATAAAGTTTAATTCACCCAGAAAGACCTTAAAACCAAAGCCATGTATCCTACCTAGAGGGAGGGCCAGTGTTGTAGAGCAGGAGGGCGTGTTGTGACTGTGTCTTAATCTCCATTTTAATTGATCCTCCAGTCCTAGGGTATGAGTCCTGGAAGGCCACGTATGCTCCTGGTTTGATAAAGCTGATGGCCACGTCTGAGGAGGCATCAAACTCTTCAGAACATTCCCACTCCAGGCCGTACACCTCAGACGACGTGGGGTCCTCCTGCACCTCCCGGAGGATCTCAAGCCCGTTGTACATTACCTGCAGGCATAAAGACATTCGTTCTCAGTATTGTACTTTTAAGTGTTGTACTGATAAGTGTTGTAGTTGGTGGTTATGTTAGCTAAGAATTGTTTGCTGGTAGCTGTTGTAGCTGATAATTGCTGTATCTGATGATTGTAGCTGGTAATTGTTGTAGTTGGTAATTGGTGTACTGTAACTGATGATTGTTGTGGTTAGCGGACATAATATATTAATGTAATAAAAGAAAATTCAAGAATGTATTTAATGTTAATTGAAATAAATTAAAATTACAATTTTAACCGACCCATATAACATTTAGACCTTCAGTTTCGTTACGGACTGAAGACTTGTATTGCTGAGTGCTTACTGAACGGTGTGTATAAACGTGTTTAAACAAAATAGTATGGAAACTAAATGTAGGGATATAAAAGAAGAAGTTGTATATACATGGTTGACTTCTGTCCTTGCCTCTCAAATATATTGCCTGTTTCTCGGAAATTCAACGTAATTCAAATAAAATTCTTGTCTATATAATTGTAATTTTAATAGACTACATTTGTCTGGTTGTAGGTGGGAGTGTGGCAGGTGAGGAGTGTGGCAGGTGAGGAGTGTGGCAGGTGTGAGTGTGGCAGTTGGAAGTGTGGCAGGTGGGAGTGTAGCAGGTGGGGTGTTTGGCAGGTGGGGAGTGTGGCAGGGATTGGGATTGGGGCAGGAAGGTGGCAGGAGGGGAGTGGCAGGTGGGGAGTGGCAGGTGGGAGTGGGCAGGGGAGTGGGGAGGTGGCAGGTGGAGGTCGGAGTGTGGTGAGGAGGCAGTGAGTGTGGCAGTAAAGCCACGAGGTGGGAGGTAAGGGGGCAGAGGCAGGTGGGGAGTGCGGTGCGGAAGCGGCAGGTACAGTGTGGCAGGGGGTAGTGGGCAGGTGAAGTGGCATGTGGGGGTGGGAGGGCAGGTGGCAGGGACGTGTGGGAGGTGGCACGGGAGTGTGGCAGGTGGGAGGTGGCAGGTGGAGTGGCAGGAGGTGGGAGTGACAGGAGGAGGGCAGAAGTGTGGCAGGTGGGAGGTGGCAGGGGAGGCAGTGTGTCAGGGAGGAGTGTGGCAGGTGGGGAGCAAAAAGGGGTGGGTGGGGAGGTGGGGGAGTAGCAGGCAGGTGGGAGGTGGCAGGTGGGGGTGTGGCAGGTGGGAGTGGCAGGTGGGGAGGTGGCAGGTGGGAGTGTGGCGGTGGGAGGCATACAGGCGGGGGAGGGCAGGGGAGGTGGCAGGTGGGAGGTGGCAGGTGGATGTGGCAGGTGGCAGGAGGAGGGCAGGGGAGTGTGGCAGGTGGGAGGTGGCAGGTGGGGAGGTGGCAGGGAGGAGGCAGGTGGCAGGTGGGGAGTGTGGCAGGGGGAGGGAGTGTTGCAGGGGGGGGTGGCAAGGGAGGTGGATAAGTTGGAGGTGGGCAGATGGGGCGGTAGGTGGGATTGTGGGTGATCAGACAGGTAAGAGTGGCAGGTGGGAGCAGGAGAGTGGCACGGGCGTGGTGGCAGGTGGAAGGTGGTGAATGAGGCAGGAGGGGCAGTGTGCCACGTGGGGAGGCAAGTGGAAGGAGGCAGGTGGGGGAGTCGGCAGGTGGGCAGTGTGGTGGGTTATGGTGGTGGAAGTGTGGCAAGTGGCAAGAGGCACGTGAGTGTGGAGTGGAGCGGCAGTGTGAGTGTGCGGCGGGAGAGTGTGGTGGTGTGGGGAGCCTGGACAGTGGGAGAGGAGAGGTGGCAGGTGGGAGTGTGGTAGGAGGCAAGGTGGGGAGGCAGGCAGGTGTGGAGGTGGCAGGAGGTGGAGGAGGTGGCAGGTAGGAGTGTAGCTGGTGGGAGTGGTGTGGCAGGTGGGGAGTTTGGTGGTACAGGTACAGGTGAGGAGGTAAGGGTAGGAGAGTGGCAGGGGAGGTGGCAGGTGGGGAGTTTGGAGTGGAAGCAGGTGGGGAGTTTGGCAGGTGTGAGTGGCAGGTGAGTGGTAGGAGGTGGCAGGTGGGGAGTGTGGCAGGTGGGAGAGTGCAGATGGAAGTTTCCATCATGTGGGAAGTGTGTCAAGTGGGAAGTGTGTCATGTGGGAAGAGTGTCATGTGGGAAGTGTAAGTGTGTCAGGTGGGAAGTGTGTCAGGTGGGAAGTGTCACTGAGTGTATCAAAGAACATTAAACAGAATCAACACAATAATACATACAGAGTCCTTAACATATCAAGAGAACCAAGACGTGTAGTAGGAGTGAATGTACAAAACCTACGATCGTTAGCAAAGAGATAAAAAAAAATATCAATAAAAATATATGAAGAGTGACTAACCTGGTCCATACAGCCGCGGAAGTCGTCGAGGAGGCCAAGAAATACCTCGGTAAAGTCCCCCATACCTCCTAGGAACACACCGTAGTGGATGTTGAGCTCGTGGAACCTCCCAGGCAAGGTGATGCTAGCAACAGAGGGAAACATAAGTTAGTTACGTGTGGTAGTAAGAGATGGAAGGTGAGGGGCAGTAGTGATGGTGGAAGGGAGGGTAGTGATGGTGGAAGGGAGGGTAGTGATGGTGGAAGGGAGGGTAGTGATGGTGGAAAGGGAGGGTAGTGATGGTGGATGGGAGGGTAGTGATGGTGGAAGGGAGGGTAGTGATGGTGGAAGGGAGGGTAGTGATGGTGGAAAGGGAGGGTAGTGATGGTGGATGGGAGGGTAGTGATAGTGGAGCGGGAAGAGGGTTGGGATGGTGGAGGGAGGGTAGTGATGTTGGATGGGAGGGAAGATATTCATAACCTCAGCGCATTTACAACAACACACCACACCCATGTATTTGCATAATGCCGAACCCGTGATATATTTATTCCCTTACATCCTCAAAACACTGGTTGAAATAATCGGATCATAGCTATCAACAATCTCATCCGAGGTCTTGTATTGAGGTCATCACTGTCCACACCAGGAGAACACCCGGCCATCCTTTCACGAGGAGTCAGTCTTGTTCACAGGAAGCAGAATACCTTGTACTCCCACACAGACTCTGGGCAGGCGGACACAAGGGCTCATTATAGTTAATGATGCCTTACAAACTCATTCTGGGGTAGGCTATACTTAATGAATATTGAACACAGTAAATTAAAATAACATAAATTTGCTCCACAAATGGAAGAGTATACGCAACCATAAAAAATGAATCGAGCGTAATCTTATGCAGAATATTGATTATTTCAACTTCTTATAAATTTAAATCTTGGAAAATCAAAATCTATAATTGTCCAAATTGAAATCGGACTGTATTTTTCCACTAGAAGTACTTTCCCACATAATAAGAAGTAATCGATCAAACGGAAGTAAAGATAATTCAAGAAACCCGAAAGGTTATGGAAGACGATCACTGTGTGCCGGCGCTTACCGACACAATTCATGCAATCACGATTTTATTCGCAGGATCGTAATATTAGCGGCTGACTTGAGAGATTTAATAGGACACTAAAAAAAAATACACATGAGTGGCACCAAAAATAATTCTTCTCACGTAATGTTGAATGTTAATTAATTAGTCATCTCTAGACTCATTTTTTTCAGTTATTATTAGTATTTCATTTAAATTGGACAAAAAGTTCAAGGCTGTGAATCTTTATTGTGTCAGTTTTAAACTGTCAGTGCAGGTTTTTAAGATAGATTGTGCGTTACAGTATATGGTTTATTGGCGGGAAATAATATCAATATTATCAAACCTGAAATCTGTGGCCATCACTTTCAAACAAAAGCTTCCTCCATAGTTGTTCTTTAAAGAAAATCTACATAATTATTGACATGCAAACTTCATCATCTTTAAGACATTACATGTGTATGTGATGTTAATAAGAGAATGATGGGATTGCAATTTTTCTTTAATTTATCAGTCCAATCCCTCCTTCTGACGCCAGTCAAGAGCTTTATTTTCCAGTACAATTTGACGCCACCAGTGACCCATATATATCGTTGTTTCACTTAATATTACTGTAAACTATATAAAACAATCCCGTTATGCCACAGTGAGAAGGTAAATTAGTGATTATTTATTGGGATATAGACTGGGATTCAAATAGGAATGTAAATCCCTCGTAATATAGCCATTTGTAATCCCCGAAGATTAATTACGAAGACCTCCAATACTCTCCCCCTCCACCCACCACCCTGTCATCTGGCCCTACAGCGTTACTACCTATGGCAAAACTACATTAATCTACAGCAGAGTATTCCCAGGAGAGCTAAGTTCCTTTCAACTCTACGGTGCTATCAGCAAACTTAGACATTTTCCAAAAAACTTTAAGAAGCTGTGAAAATAAAATTTAAATGTGTTTCAAAATGCAGACCAAAATATCGAGGCGTATATTACGCAGATGGTGACACATACCACGAATTTTACGCCGGCCGGTGAATGAGACGACGCAAAATTCTCCTTTGAGAAGCAAATTTCATGAGTTAAGGGAAAATTATTGGGACCTTTTATAACAATTTATGTCAAGAGGGCTGTTGTTGCCTCGCTGCATGCACTTTATGTTGGCTGGAATTATTCCTGTATTCTTGTTACGACTCCTGACACGAGGAATTATTGTCCTTCTTTTGTTGTATCTTGAAACATTGATATAATTATGAGTATTTGGCGGTAGTTGATAGAGAAGCAAATTATGGCAGTGATGATTAATTCCCAAGATGATCTACCAAACACCAGACAATTTCTCTAACGGACATTTACTTGGCGTCCCCGGCTATCTGCTCTCACCACAGCCGCCACACCAAACACCTGTTCCATCACAACACACCTGTAAAACTACCCACATATCTGTCCTACTACCACACACCTGTCCCACTACCACACATTTGTCCCACTACTACACACCTGTACAACTATCACACACCTGTCCCACTACCACACACCTGTACCACTACCACACACGTGTAAAACTACCACACACCTGTCCCACTACCACAAACCTGTCTCACCACCACACCAATGTCCCGTCACCCAACTCTGTCCCATCACCACACACCAGTCCCACCATCACACACCTGTCCCATCACCACACACTTACCCCATCACCACGCACCAGTCCCACCATCACACACCTGTCCCATCACCACACACTTATCCTATCACCACGCACCAGTCCCACCATCACACATCTGCCCCATCACCACACACCAGTCCCACCACCACACACCAGTCCCACCATCACAGATCTGCCCCCATCACCACACACCAGTCCCACCACCACACACCAGTCCCACCACCACGCACCAGTCCACCATCACATCTGCCCCACCACCACACACCAGTCCCATGCATCCCCCCATCCCACCCACCAGTCCCACCACCACACACCAGTCCCACCATCACACACCAGTCCCCACCATCGCACAGCCCCACCACCACACACCAGTCCCACCATCACACACCAGTCCCACCATCACACATCTGCCCCATCACCACACACCAGTCCCACCACCACACACCAGTCCCACCACCACACACCAGTCCCACCATCACACACCAGTCCCACCATCACACATCTGCCCCACCACCACACACCAGTCCCACCATCACACATCTGCCCCATCACCACACACCAGTCCCACCACCACACACCTGTCCCACCAATCATACCTAACATAACCTTACCTAGTTTAATTTATATATAATTTGGCTCTTATCATGATGGTAAACGACAAATGCCCAGTTCATTAAGAGACTCAAAGGACATGCAGGTGGTTGGAGATGTTCGGGGTACTTGGTTCTAACTACAGGGGCGAACATAAACACCTGTAGAGTCCTGTAGGTTCTATTCAACGGAAATATACAGGAGTGCCCTTACAAGCACAGGTAGTCCCTTACACTCTTTATGGGTCAAATGACCTCTCTCTGACCTCTCAGGCGACATGTGGTAAGTGGTACATTAGCAGCTTCCAGATTCTTAATTTGAGTAGGAACGATGGTAAATTGCTATGGGAGGAAATAAAGAAGGCATCTGATAGAAACAATGTATGTATTCTAGGCGATTTCAACTTTTCAGGCTTAGATTGGAAAAATCAACTTAGCGATAATGAATCTGAAGATTTTCTAGAAGTAGTACAAGATAGTTTTTTATATCAATTCATAAACTCGCCCACTAGAGGAAATAATATCCTCGATTTAGTTCTCAGCAATAATGAAAATCTAGTAAAAGATGTTGGGATTGGAGACGAACTAGGAAACAGTGATCATAAAGCCATATATTTTAACATAATATGGAATGGCAGGAAGAAGGAAAATTCGGCCTTGATCCCGGATTTTAGGAAGGCTAACTACGGTAGCTTAAGGAGAGACCTAAGGGATGACCCTATGGTCAAAAGATTAATCCCCCCCACACCTCCGGAAACTGTCAACTTAGGACGGGAGAACCCCGAATTTAATTTAGCAGCTTCTTATGAACAATTTATTGAGACAATCCATAATGCTCAAAATAAACACATCCCTAAAAGAAAATTCAGATCGATACGGAACCAACCAAAATGGATGAATAATAGACTCTTAGATCTTCTAGGGAAAAAGAAAGAAGTATATAGAAAAGTTAAGAAAGGCGAAAATCACTTACTTGGTTACTATCAGAACCTAACAAGACAGGTAAATACAGAAATTAGGAAAGCAAAGAGAAATTATGAAATCAAGGTAGCAAATGAATCGAAAAATAACCCCAAAGCTTTTTATCAACTGTATAAATCAAAGGTTAGAGATACAATAGGTCCCCTTAAAACTACGACAGGAGAAATGACTGATGATGAGTTAGAAATGTGTAGTACGTTAAATAGTCATTTTCTCTCCGTATTCACAAATGAAAACCTAGCACAGTTTCCAGAAGTTCATAAGGTATATAACGACAGTATAGAAAATATGTTGATGAATATCAATATTACTAGTAACGATGTGCTTAAAGTATTAACAAACTGAAGCCTCATAAATCGCCTGGTCCAGACGAGGTATATGCTAGAATATTAAAAGAATGTAGAGATGAGTTGAGTAATCCATTAGCAGTTTTATTTAATAAGTCATTAGAATCGGGCCTAGTGCCAGAAGCTTGGAAACTTGCAAATGTAGTTCCGATTTTCAAAAAAGGTGATAAATCAATTGCATCAAATTACCGTCCCATTAGTCTCACGTCAATCATAGGCAAGTTGCTAGAGTCAATTATTGCTACAAAAATCAGAAGCCACCTTGAAACATTCAACTTAATTCATTCTTCTCAGCACGGGTTCACCCAGGGACGTTCTTGTCTCACAAATTTGCTTAGCTTTTTCTCAGAAGTATATGAAGCGGTAGATAATGATAAGTCATATGATATAATTTATTTAGATTTCAGTAAAGCATTCGATAGAGTCCCTCATGAGAGATTGATAAGGAAGGTAGAAGCACATGGAATAGGTGGATCATTATTAAAATGG